TTCAAAACACCTTATTTTAATTAATAGCTTATTAGGTAATAAAACCTTCTCAAGCTTTTATCTATAGCTTTTCTTTGATTATAACTTTAGGATCTTTAATGGAAATGATACAATAATAACTAATTTATTGAAGCTATATATATTATATAGATATAAATCAATTGCTTTTTGAACGTAACTTCAAATATACTATCCATTAATATAAATGACTAATTATTTACCTATTTTGAATATAGACTCTAAGTCTTTAATAAGGCTTATATATTCATCATTCTATTATACTACTTTAATGTTACTTAATTAAACCCTAGTATGATACTATAGAAGGTGTTATTTATATATATTAATTATAAGATTATAGGATAAGCTATTATCATTATATTATTAAGTTTTTATTAGTTATATTTAGTATAAATTTTAAATAGCTAGGCTACTTTTATAGGGAACTTACTTATACCTTATATTAGACTTTTCTATTTCTAAGTGAAAGTTAAATCTAAGTTAAATAAGCCTATAATATCATTTAATCAAGATTGATTTTCAAATTACTAGAAGAGATAATATTTTATAGATTTCAAATCCAGCTAATATAAGAGATTATAACTACTATTTGAAGTCAAATTAATTAAAGAAAGATACATAAGAATTAATGTTTAACCTTCTAAACACTATCTAAATCTTAGTCTAAATTAATTATAGGTTTTCTTATTAGCTTACTCTAATTCGAAGGTTTTCTAAAAGATTAATCATTGACTTTATTCTTATAACTGTTAAATATTATATAAAAAAGCTCTTCTCTTTTCTATTTCTATAGTAATAAAATAAAATTAAGATATAAAGCCCTAAATAGAATATATCTAATCATTAATAAGTTCTTATAAGTAATCTCTAGTCTAGGTTATATTGTCTCTTATATATTAATATTACTTATATATAATATTTTACTAATATAAAACTGACTAGCTAGTCTAATCTAGAAATATAAAAATTATATAAATTAATATTACTAATTCTTTAAAAAAGCTTACATCTTTTACTATATTTATAGGATATTCATCTAACTTTTATATATACATAAGACTAGTACTAAAGGAAGAGAGGATCTAAAAAACACGATAAAAGTTATAAAGATAATAAATAGTATTCTAAAAAAAGCTTAAAAATAAGTAGTTAATTACTATCTTAAATTATATTAGAAATAATATAATAAAGAGTATATAGATTTTATCTTTATAAGTGGAGATCTTACTTATCTCTTAGTAAAGAATCTATAATTAAAGACTCTAATAAGAAAGCTGATTCTTAAATTTATAAGCATATTTAGGATCGTATGTTAAATTAGGCATTAGGCACTAAGCTTAATAAATTAGTTTATCTATAAAGTATGATAAAGTCTATAAAATCTTTTATATCCTATTACTTAAACTATATATAAATTAGAGATTAGGATGAAGTAGAATTATACTAATTCTATTACGAAAAATAAGACTACTTAAGACAGAAAAGAAATTAAAAAAGATTGAAAAGGGGTTAAGAAAAATATTACTTTCTAATAAAGTAAGAAGATTAGTCTTCTATATGATTGATAGATACTAAAAATAAATATTAAATATATTAGCACTAATTAAAAATTCAAGAAAATATAAAAATATATCTAGTTTTTCTTTCTATGTTAATTTAATCCTATCTCTATCTTATTTTATTTTAGATTATAATTTTATAATCTTATTATAAAATCATCTTTTATATAGCAGTAGTTATCTCTCTATTCTAGATAGTATACATTATTTATTTAATCTTCTCTAATAATGATATTATATTATTAATCAATAATTATATGTACTATTATCTTCTTAAAGCTAAAATATAAAATTTATAGAGTAAAGTAGTCAAACTCTAGTATATATAGGATAGAAGTATTAGTTCATCTATATTAGCGAAAGTTTCTACTTCAATAATAATAGAAATACTATAGAAGTAGTTTTAAGTAAAATAGTACCTAAAAGTAAAGTAAGGAAATACTATAGAAGTAGTTTTAAGTAAAATAGTACCTAAAAGTAAAGTAAGGAATTAAATCTCACTATATATAGAAAATAAAGATCAATATATATTATATATAACTAGGATAATTTCTATCTACGTTAAATATTATTTTTTAATTATAACTAAGATCAATCCTATATAGAAAGAGATAATAGTTATTATAAAGGAAAAGATAATAATATATTTTTTAAGATACTAATAATAAGATACCCTAAGATAGTACCAAATCAAAATCAAATTAATATCTAAGTTAGGGATAAGCTCCAGAGCCTAGTCTTACCTAGAGCTAGTCTATAATAAGTAATATATAGGAAGTAAGCTTATTACAAATAGCTTACTTAGCTCTTAGTTTCTCTATATTAAAGAAGAAGAAGAAGAATATAAGAAGTAAAAGAGCTAGATAGGAAGATAGTAAGGAGATATAAAATGATTATAAAATAGTACTAATATAGTATAGATTTAAAGTTAAATATAATATATATTATATTAGTTCTAAGACTAATTCTAAAAGAAGAAAAGAATTTAAAGATAAAGATTCTTCTTCTTCCTTAATACAGAGGAAGTAAGAGCTAAGTAGGTAATTTATAATAATATTACTTTGAATATCTTTTTATTATAGACTAGCTCTAGATAAGTCTAGAGCTTACTCTTAGTCTAGATATTAAATTAAAAGTGATTTAGTAAGTACTATTCTAGGATATCTAAGGTATCCTATGATTTCTATCTTAGAAAATAAGTAACTATCTTTTCTTTTATAAGTAAAAAAAAAGAGAAACTTAGAGTAAGATTATTATAAATTACTTACTTAGCTCTTACTTCCTCTATATTAAGGAGGAAGAAGAATGTTTCTCTTTTAATTCTTTCTTTTCTTAGAATTTAGTTTTAAGTCTAATATAATATATACTATCTTAGACCTTTAACTCATACTATATTAGTACTATTTCTATTTAGTTAATACCTCCCCTACTATCTTCTTATCTATCCCTTCTACTCCTTATAGGAAGGTAGTAAAGGAGATATAATGAAATAGTACTTAATTCAAAGGGACTTAAAGTCTAAGGTAATATAATTAATATTGACTTAAGTTAAAGGGAAGTTATTAAGAGATATAGATCATTCTCTTTCTTAATATAAGGAAATTAAGATCTAAGAAAGCTAGTAATAATAAGCCTACTTCTAATATATTACTTGTTATAGACTTAGTTCTAGTAGGTCTAGAGCTTACTTTTAATCTAGATACTAAATGCCTTCTAATTTAGTACTATTTAGGATATCTTATTATCTATGTTCTTGAGACTTAGTAGCTATATTCTCTTTTATAATATTACTAAATTTATAAAAATCTATATTCTAAAAGGTCTTACTATTTAATAGTAGCTAATAAATGTAGACTATAGTAATTGTATCTATTTTGATCTATCTCTTTCTATTAACTATAATTATTTTATCAATGATTTATTGTATAAATAAGAAAGTGGTCTTCTAAAAGCTCAAGATCTAATGAACGTTTAGTTCAAAATTAGATTCCTTTCATTTTTAGGATTATTATCATAGTTTCTAAATCTTTTATATTAGAGATAAATATAATTCAATTATAACATATTATTATCTTGAATTTTGAATTTTCAATTTTAAGAGAGGTATTTAGTAAAAAGCTATAGTCTTTATTGTTATTTCTTTACTAAATATTCATATTCATATTCTAAAATTCTTAGTCTTAATTCTAATATTAATTTAGGAAAAGAAAAGCAATGTTACCTTGATTTTTATATGAAAGATTCTTAAGTTTATAAGTTCATGTTCTAATTAGCTAGATTTCAACTATATAAAATATATGTAGTCTTAATCAGAATAGTAAGAATATATCAAATATTAGTAGTATTAAAATTAAGTAATAGTCTATATCTTAAATTAGTCCTAGAAATTAGTATGAGTTTCATACTAATCTAGAAGCTTTTAAAAAAAAGATATATAATCCATACGTATTAAGCTACTAAGATAGAATTTGATGCTTTTCAATAATATTAGGAAAGCATAATAGAAATATTAAATAGTAATTGTTTAACTACTTATAACCATTAAAAAAAATTAAAAATTAAACAAAAGGGTCATATGTCATTATCTATAATATCCTTATCCTTCTATAGTAAATTATAGATAAATTAGGGTTAAAATATAGTTTTATAAAGTAGATTACCTAGAGATATCTCTTTCTTTATTCTAAATTCTTAGTAAGTAGTTCTCATATATATTATAATTATTCTTTAAGAATTAAAGAATTTTATTTTATATACCTAAAGTATAATTAGTATTAGATATAAAAAAGAATAAGATAAAGACTTTGTACTTTTTCTAAGATAATCTAATATATAGTTAATTCTTCTTATAAACTAAGAGTAAAAGGAGTAGAAATTATAAAGAAAAAGAATACTAAATAAATAGTTGGAATAGTATATATCATAGTAGTATCGAGGTAAGATAAAGGAAAATAAGATAATTAAACGAGGGCTTATCTATATAGACCAAAAATCTATTCTCTAAGCTCTAGCTATAATAAGATCATTTTTAATATTAGTTAATTCATAGTACTAGTCCTATATTTAGGACTAAATATATGTTTTGTTATCTAATATATAATGGTTATAGGTGACTAGATAAATCAGGAAGTTAAACCTGTATAAGAAAAATATATCCTAAATTATTTATTTCAAAAAAAACTCAAATAATATAGCTTTTAGACGCCATCTATCTCTCATTTGGATACCTATTGAATGATACTATATATTATCCACCATAACAATAACACTTATACTTACCTCCTAGAAAATTATATGAAGATAACGTTAAACTATATTACTGTCTCATTGATCCTTAACACCATCATAGCTACTCCATGAGACTAAATTTAAATAACAATCATGCCTGAACAAGGTCCCATGGATCCAAAGTGCATAGTTCTATAATCGTGTAAAGAAGTACATATAAGCCGTTTTCTTCATCTGATCAAGGTCCTCAAATTTCACAACCTTTTCGTCATTGAACATAACCCAGGAGAGACCAGACTGGCCTGGCAAAACCTTACGAATGACAGCCACATAGTGACTTTGTTAACTAAGTCAGCAGTGCACTATATGTAAAGACCAAAATTATGGGGATATAGAAACCACTCACCCTGCATGAACTGACGTGCCTTTGTGACATACGATAGATTGTAGCTGATACCGAGCAGGCAAACTATCATAGCCGGCTGAATCTTGCTGAGAGTCTATGTCTTTGATATCATCCTGGCCATCCTCCAAGCCCTCATCGGGGTGGGTAAAAACCCAGTCTAGCGCTCGATTGACATCGCCATCAGTGGCAGATAAGGCCTGGCGAGCTCTGGAAGCCTCGATGCCCATGTCCCCCAGCTGCGCGACCTTCGTCTCGTCCTGCTCAGCATTTATCGTCCCACCAGCAGATCCCTTCAAAACGAGGGGTTCATCAATGTCTGGGTCTTCCATATGAGCAAACAGCCAATTCATGGCAGCCTCCGGGTCATCATTTCCAGTGGCGTGAAGCGCCTTCTCACATCTCACAGCTGGGAAACCCATGCCCAAGAGCTGATCCATGACAACGGGGTTAGGATTGAAGGCCACATCTTCCTTAACCTCCGGCAAGATCTCCTCGTTGGCATCATGCTCACCAGCTAAATAGCACCCAAAATCAACGGGTCCGTCATCAACAACCACTGGAATGTCTAATTTGGTAGGAACCCAGTTGACAAGCCCAAAGCGACGAGCATTGATAGCCAATTCTTGTGGTAAAGTTTTGAAGGATGAGCGTTTCGAGAACCCGTCACGGCTATTACATTCAGGACAGCTGAGCTCAACGACCTCCTCCGCGGTGAATAGGTCCAAGCACTCTGATAGGGTAACAGCTTCAAAACGATCTGTTTCACCCGAGATGCGACGACCAGGCACAGCAACAGAGATATTATCTTGCTCATCTACCTTGTAACGGACCTTCTTACAGCCCAAGCACTGAAGGCGTTGCTCGACCTCGAATCGGAAGCTCTTGACAGGATTGAGCTGTCCATCAGAATGCTTTGAAAGACTCACACATTTGAACACGTGCAAAAGAAATTCGAATGCATCCTGTTGCCTCATTGTTGCAAATTCATCATGACCCTGGCCAATCAGATATTTGAACATGGCTGGAGCCAGCCCCCTTTGATGTGGAGCCTCTTGTGCATTCTGAGCTGTAGCAAAACGTGTACCTGGTTGAGAGTAACGGCCTGATAGTAAGCCATCTGCCAGCTTTCTCAGTTGGGTCTCAAGGTCCTGTGCCGGTGTCTGACATAGCGGTGGCTCCTCAGATGGGCAATAATAACGAGATTGGAAGCAAGATGTAGAGAATATGCACTGCATGATACTGGAAAGGTAGCAGCTGTTTCCGAGGTTAGCGAGGCCAGTGAAGCCAGGTCCGAAGACCGGGGTTAATTCACGACCATCTTCGGTGGTCATAGAGAACTCCCATTGGAGGTTGTGCTCAACCTGCATCTCCATCAAGCTCTTCTCCGTTTTTTCACGCCCAGCTAGGAATATGCCCCAGTGTGCGAGGTGATTTGCAAGTTCTGGGTCTGTTCGCTCCTCATTGCATGCGTAACAATAGACGTCTGCTGAGCCCTCGGCAGTGATGGAGCCCAGTTTAACTGCCACAGCATGTGTTGATGCGTCTGCGTGGGCGAGAGCGTGGGAGTTGCCTTGTATACCACCAAATTGACTTCGTCCACATCCTATGTTTCCACAATCTAAGCAAATCCAGAGATTCTCCTTCAAATCGCATGTAGAACATCGACTAGAATCTATAACATAATTAGCATTGTAGCCGGAGTTTGGGCGTTGCAAGAGAGATGGATACCTTTGGATTCTACGTTCTCAATGTCTTGTTGAGTAAGACATAACGTGTGTTCACAAGGGACAAATTCCTGCTCCCATGCTTTTACCTCCTCCCTTTTCGAAAAAGTCATTGCGTTCATGACTCCGTTGATCACAGCAGGCAGATTCCCAATCGATTTATCGACATCTTGCTTCGCGCACGAATAGCATGTCACGGATGTCACGATATCATATCGGTCATCATCTGTCTCGGCAGTAATCGCAAGCTTTGAAATCTTGGGCGGGGGCTCATCTCTCTATAGCATGTGAGAAGGGATGTTGACGTCATTTTTGGAAAGCTTAAGCCCTACCTGAATTTGTTTCGGGGTTCTGCGAATATTCAAGGCCAGCGGGTGACCAAAGCGTCGATGGTGTAGTAATGCATGATCTCTATCCCCGGTACACCCACCATTGAAACAGTGGAGACATACATTTAGACCCGAGTCATTGTCCTTGAAAGTGAAATAGTTAGACTCATCATCCAGAGGGGAGACGGAAGTTGGCAAGGAAGAAAGCATACAATGGAATCGAAGCACTGCGTACAGTCCTCTCTATACACAGCCTGAGAGGTTCCGGGCGGTTGGAGGTCTAACATGATCAGCTTATCACTTTTCTTCAAGGTGAACAATTCTCTCACCAACCTAAAGCTTCTGAATGAAGACAGGCCATTTCTTTCGGAAGTCAAAAGCCCGTCTAAGATAGGGGAGGCAAAAAAGTACGTAGGGAAAGTTCAAGAGAGTAGAGAAGAGGCAGTGAATAGAAGGGTAAAGAAAAAAAAGTCAACATAATCAAGCACTTGAAGGTGGGACAAGGCAGGAGCTCCGACGTGGGGCAGTTGCTTATCTAAGAACCGGGTGTGTGGAGAGAGCGCTATGGCCTGAGGCATCCAACCACCCACCACAGTCACCTGAGTGGCCACTTTACGCGTTATTTCCAGGTTCCCGCTTCACGCGTCGCGGGCGCCACAATCTTCATCCTCTTTCCATACCTTGTCATCTTACCGTGACCCATTGCTGTCTGGCAGCACTCTTTGAAGGTAACCACCATGGCTACAGATGCAGCTTCCATGATCACTGTTGGTGCTCTCAGGTAAGTTGTCAATTACGGCTGTTGTGCATGGACGTAGCAAGATCTAATATTCCGAGAAAGTGCCATATTTGATGACACCAAGGCTCAAGTCCAGGAGCCGATTGTCCAATGTGTTCAGGTGAAGCCACTGCCACCTCAGCCAAACCATCAAGAGCGTTATCGAGCTGTGTTCAGCGACGTCGCGAATTATGTTCAGACTATGCTTGCCACTCGTATGTTTTTTTCTTTCTTGCAACCCTTCAGATTCAATCCTTAGTTGACCAAAATAGCAGAGGCCAACCATGTCGTCACAAACGGATCCCTGCGGAAAGGGTGCTTTGTCCGGCTTAAATCATTCCAGGCGAATTCAGTGAAGGGAAAAAAGTAAGTGGCCTCACGAGGGTGAATGTGTTGTCCAACTTCATATATTGACTGCTTTACAGGATCTTGATTGTTTTGGATCTCGAAGTTCTGCAAGAGCTGGGTGAGGCCGAAAAGATCGGCGAGCCGAAGCCTTTGGAAGTCAAGAGCGACGAAGAGGAGGAGAAGACCCAACCAACCACTATTTCTAGCAATGGGTTCTATGGCTCCAAGCTTCAAGGGGGCCCGCCGAAACAACCTCCTCAGTTGCCTTCCATGCGAGGGCCCTCCGCGTCTGCCCACGCCACCATCTACCCCATAGAAGCCATCTCGCCCTACTCGAACAAATGGACCATCAAAGCCCGTTGCACAAGCAAGTCCAACATCAAAACATGGCACAACAAGAACGGCGAAGGCAAACTCTTCAGTGTGAACCTGCTGGATGATAGCGGTGAAATCCGTGCAACAGGTTTCCAGGAACAGTGTGAAATGCTTTACGATCTGTTCCAGGAAGGCAGTGTCTATTATATCTCCAGCCCATGCCGTGTCCAGATTGCCAAGAAACAATTCAGTAACCTCAACAATGATTATGAGCTGACATTTGAACGTGACACATTGGTTGAGAAGGTATGGGACCCCTGCCTCTTCCCTCAAGAATAATGACTTACAATTTAACTTAGGCTGATGACCAAAATGACGTGCCCCAAATTCGCTTTAACTTTACCAACATTGGAGATCTCCAATCCGTGGAAAAGGACACGACTACAGACGTGATCGGCATTCTCAAAGAAGTTGCTGAGACATCCCAGATTGTTTCGAAGGGGACAGGCAAACCCTACGACAAAAGGGAACTCACTCTAGTCGACAACACCGGCTTCTCGGTTCGCCTAACTATCTGGGGCGCTACTGCTGTCAATTTCAACGTAACACCAGAGTCTGTTGTAGCCTTTAAAGGAGTGAAAGTCTCTGACTTTGGAGGACGCAGCCTCAGCTTGTTGAGCTCCGGCTCGATGGCTGTCGATCCTGACATTGGAGAAGCTCACCGGCTGAAGGGCTGGTATGATGCGCAGGGTCGAACCGAGGTGTTTACATCTCATGCATCCGTCTCCAACGCAACCAACTCCAACATGAAGCCTGATCAATTTAAGACTGTTGCGCAAGTTCGGGAAGAGCAACTGGGCATGTCGGATCAGGTGGATTACTTTTCTTTGAAGGCCACCGTTGTCTACATCAGACAGGACTCGACCTGGTGCTACCCAGCCTGTCTTACCGAAGGGTGCAACAAGAAAGTGACTGAATTGGACCCTGGTCAGTGGCGCTGTGAAATGTGCGACAAAACCCATCCCAAGGCGGAGTATCGCTATATCATGCCCGTCAGTGTGAGCGACCATACGGGCCAGCTTTGGCTTAGTTGCTTTGACGACACGGGCCGTCTGCTCATGGGAACATCAGCTGATAACCTGATGCAACTTCACGAAGATGATCCCACGGCGTGTAGCGAGGTATTTCAAGCAGCCAATTGCCAGACCTGGAACTTCCGATGCCGAGCTAAGATTGATACATTTGGTGATCAGCAACGGTCAGTAGATTCAATCATGTTTTCATATACATCAAGATCATCCTGACTAACGAGTTCTTACAGGGTACGATACCAAGTGTCATCCGCCAAGGCTATCAACTATTCGGAAGAAGCTTCTCGTCTGGCTGAGATCATCGGCTCTTACAATATCAATTAGGTGATCAAGCGAGATGCGGTCGGGGGTGTTACCTATTTTATACTCTTTGAAATTCGATGCCACACATCCCTACATCCTGTTTAACTGCATCTTGGGTTCCATGATTGTAAATGACTAATACGTTTTTCGCACTTCATTGAGAAATAGCTTCAGTCTTCACTACATTCTCTTTTCTATGTCCATAGAAATACGTAGTAGAAAGGGCTGTATAGTATACTAAATAGTGGCACATCTCACCCAGCTTCAACTTTGCCAGCAAGAAACTTTTGGGCGGTGTGGGAAATCTTCAGAAAATTCTGGTCAAGCGGTGAGTACTTTTTTTTCCCTGGACGTTGGCAGAAATCCTGTCCGCCTGCCCAATTTTTCTTCTCCGTGACCTCTGGAAGGACTTCTATTCCCCTCCACTGGCAATTCTATCCATTGAAATTGTCTGGTGAAAAAGAAAATTTGTGTTTCAAATTAACTGATTCCAAGCAACGACAGCCACAATGGGGAAACGCAGTCATCATGTCGAGCCAACGGAGCTGCAACCAAAGAAGAAATCCAAGGCTGATAAGCAATCCAAGGACAAAAAGGTTGTGGAGGAGACTGGGACTTCGGGTTCCGAAAAGATCACCTATACCCAGGCTTCCGCTCTCAGTGATCTCCCGCAGTCCCAGATTGATCAGTACCTCCAGGAAAAGATCATCAAGGTCACCGATGCCTCGAGCGATGGCCTTAGCCTCCGCCCTATCATTCAATTCGACTATCTACCTCCCTGTGATGGCGGGCTGTACGACTCATTGAAGTCATTCCCTGCCCCGACCCCTATTCAAGCCGCCACATGGCCACTGCTGTTCGCCAACCGTGATGTGATTGGTATCGCAGAAACCGGCAGCGGTAAGACCTTGGCGTTTGGCTTGCCCTGTCTAAAGAAAATGATAGACTCCAAACGCAGTAAAAAGCCTTGCCACCCTACTGCAGTGATTATTTCCCCTACGCGCGAGCTTGCAATGCAAATTCATGACCAGCTCATCAAATTTGCCCGCGTGGCGAAGGTCGGTGTAACGTGTATCTTTGGAGGAGTTGGAAAGGACGAGCAACGCGAAGCCCTCAAGACGGCTGCGATCGTGGTTGCCACTCCCGGCCGCTTGAAGGATCTTCAGAACGATGGATCCGTCAATCTCGGGAAAGTGAAGTATCTTGTTTTGGACGAGGCTGATCGTATGCTGGACAAGGGATTTGAGCAAGATATTAAGGAAATCATTCAACCCATGCCAGTCTCCAAAAGGCAAACAGTTATGTTTACGGCAACCTGGCCTCGATCTGTTCGGGATCTGGCTGCAAGCTTCATGAGTTCCCCGGTGACCGTCACCATTGGTGGAGATCCTTCTGCGGACCCACGGGCGAACACGAGGATCAAACAAGTTGTCGAGGTGATGGACGGACGGGATAAAGAGAACCGACTGATTCAGCTCCTCAACCGTTCCCAGCGAGGATCCCCGAACCCTGAGAAGGTCCTGGTGTTTTGCCTATACAAGAAAGAAGCAATGAGGGTGGAAAGACTCATCAGCTCTAAGGGATTCAGGGTCGCCGGCATCCATGGTGATCTGAACCAATCTGACCGGTTCCGGAACCTTGAGGCGTTCAAAACTGGCACTGCTACTGTTTTGGTCGCAACCGATGTCGCAGCGCGAGGCTTGGATATTCCTGCCGTGATGTTGGTCATCAATGTCACCTTCCCTCTCACAGTAGAAGACTACGTGCACCGAATTGGGCGAACTGGTCGTGCCGGGGCTGAGGGCCACGCCATCACATTGTTTACTGAGCAGGATAAGGCTCTGTCAGGCGGGTGAGTCTCTATTTCATCTCAATCTTCCAGAGTAGTCCTAGACCAAGCTAACCATTGGGACCAGATTGATCAATGTGCTTAAAGCCGCCAAGCAAGAAGTTCCAGAGTCTTTGTTGAAGTTTGGCACTACCGTCAAGAAGAAGCAGCATGGCGCATATGGCGCATTTTTCAAGGATGTCGACACAGATAAGAAGGCGACCAAGATTACATTCGACGATTGATTTGTATTTTTAACTGTATTCTTTTGCTTTTGCTTTTGCTTTTGCTTTCGCATAGACCACACTATTCATTTTTGGGGCCCTTTTCACCAGAGGATCCGATCTGGCGCAGCTTCATCACTTGTCCTATTAAGAATTGTCTCTCCACATAGAGACTTGGTTCCCATCAGATATCGACCCAGACTTGACATTCGAACGGGGCGACTTACATCGAAAACGTATAGAAACAGCTAAATGCAACCGCTGGAATCAAATCCTGATCTGGGCCCGATAGTCTCTGAGTGACCATGGTAACCGTGGCGAGTATTCCTAAAATATAACTGGCGGGTTGGATGCTCATTTCGGCGACACTCAGACCATTGCCATGTCGGCGAAGATAGGATCGAATAAATGTGTAGCTCCATAGGGTTCGTACCACCATGTTCACCATGTTGGCGAGTACCAGTCCATAGCCCCCCATCGACCAGACTTCCAAAAATGCATAAGCTGCGAGAGCGTAGCTTGCAGAGAAGGCACCCATCCAAACCGTCTGCCTTCGAATTTCCCCTGGGTTGGCTGCAGACGATACAAACGCCTCAGTGATCCCATTGAAGGCCAGGAATGGGATATAGTAACAATATAGTGACAGCAGGTCACCAACCTGAGGGGATGTCCATTGGCGACCTCCCAGGATACGAAGAACCTGTGGCACCATAATTGGGCCCAGTGGGAAGATAAGCGTCGAAAGAAGCTGGTAAGCTCGAAGAAGATCAGTCAGATGACCCTTTGCAAAGCTAATCTGGGCTGTATTTCTGTTTCCACTCTCATTGGGGCTCAGAAGGGTCGAAAATAGGTTTCGACTACTTTCTTCGAGAGGCTGGAATATGATCCGTGCAATTAGGCCGCCATAATTTGAAGCCAAAGAGTATATTCCTTGATCCTCCAAGCTTGACATAGCGGCGAGCATCATGGAATCTCCTTGCGTGAGAAGATGTTTCACAAGGGACTGGAAAAAGACACTCGCAGCAAGCGATGTCAACCGCCAGGAGAAAAGATCAAGGATATACTTATTCTCATCGTTGTGTTGTTTAATGACAGCAGGGAGAAAGGAAAACCGCCGCTCGCTTGCCCGAGGGAGCAAGGACAAGCAGTAACCGCCGACAAGGGTCACTGAGTAGCTCAAGTGGCCAATTGCAAATGGCAAAATGCCAGCCTGTTGAGCAGTTTGGGAGGCATAGAAAAAGGCCGAGCAGGTTGCGAGGCTCTTGACAAATGCTGCTGACATTTCGACTGCGGCTCTTTTCTCATACCACATGCGTTGCTGAACTATCGCAAAGAATGGCTCAACGCTCAATTCCAGGAGCGCTGCTATCCCTGTGATAATCACACTGGTCCCAAAAAAGGGGACTTCCAGTGCTTGCTTTGGGGCAAAGTATTGATAGAGCATGGTAAGCAAGATTGTAGAGGGTACTCCAAGGAAAGGGCTCAAGTAAGACACATTCACGACCGACTGAGATGCCGTCGATTGTATGTCCCGGGGAGATTTCCCTGTCTTTGATGTTGAAGATTCTGCGGTGATTGGCTGTCTTTGAATGGCCATTCGTATACTTTCTCTGGAAAAATATAAAATTGTGACTTGGTAAAGCTCGAGCTGGGCGGCGATCCCCAGTACCATAGGGGATAGTGTCCGCAAAATCAGCTGATTCGAGCCAAATGTAATAATTCGAGATGTCAGCTGAATGAGGATCAAGAAGGTTGTGCCCGTGGCAGAAGATGCAAGCAAATTGCCCACTTGAGGGTCGCTGGATTCCTGCATTTTGCATGCACGGAGGGAACTGGCCGACGTGTCTTCGAGCATACTAGCCGGAGCGTGAGCACCTAGCTAGATGGAAGAAGGTACCAATTGAAAGATTATTATAAATTCTCATCGAAATCCAGAGAAGACTGACTAAAGAGCGACGAATCGATACATTGATGGAAAGATAATATCAATTTGTACAGCGAAGCCCTCCACGGCTCGAGGGAAGGTACCCCGCTTACATAACCACCTTCAAAACCCTAACTTATGTTTTCACATTTTAAACAAGACTGTAAACTAGGCCTACCAAGTGGACTAAAGTGTCTAGAAGCGTTGTAACACGATGGAATCAATATGTTTAATTTGCGATCGGGGCCAATGGGGACAGTGGAGAAGGCTTGAAAATAGCAACAGGAATACGCTGCTCATTGATCTACGAGTGTACAAAGGAATACAATGTGTCGCCGTCGACAAAACGCTTGGCAATCAAGGATGGCGAAACTGGTCCCATATGACCGAACACCACGGCTAATTTGGCTTATGACGATGTGCAAACCCAAGATTGGGGATCACCCGAGGGACGACAAGAAAAGCGGAACCCCCGAAGTGAGAAAATAATGGGCTTAGAATGGAGGAAGATAGAAGGGATAGCCTCCGTTCTTGGTCTTGAACACACTGAGGAGCAGACTGTATGTCCCAAAGAGAATGCCTCCCCAAATCAACACCGCCAATTGCTGTCCCTTGACATCTTCCATGCGAGGCACCTTCAACGCAAGCGCAATGGTTGCAAATGACAGGATAGCATCTGCACAGGGTATGAGTTTTGAGAACCAAAGACAAATGCTGCGATAATCGTTCAAAGGATCACTTACAGATAGCAGCCACAATCTGGGTCTCCATGCCGAATTGATTCTGGAAACCTCCCGCAAAGTAGCTGATTCCACCACGGCCATCCCCGGCGACATAAGGTACCTTTCGGATGTGATTGAACATCTGGCCACTGGTGAACAGAAGAATAGCAATCAGACTGACAGCGGCCCAGAGGTTCCGGTTCTGAATAATTGGCAGAACGTAAGGATATAGCACCGTAAATAAGGTCACAGCGCCCATTAAAATGGTGATTCCAGAGACGATACGCATATAGTTGACAGGCCGAACCAAGGCGGGCTTAGGTCCATCGGGTAGGTGACGGTTGATCCATGAATACAGTTGATCGGCGGAGATTGGACTAGAGTTTTGACATCCATGTCAGAGAAAAGTGACTCACAACTTAAAAGGCATCGGCCCAGTAGTCTTCAACTTACCCTGTGAAATCAAATCTCACTGGCTCCGCTTCCACCTTGGCAAACGGTCCGACGGTTGGGGGAAACAGGAGGAGGACGGGTGCAGTTTGAAGCATATACTGGTGAAAGGCATCAGCTATACGAGGCATGAGAGTATTGAGATAGCAAGGGTCATGTCACACCTTTTGAAAAACTGTTTTCCCCTTGTCGAAATCCAGAGTACCGAAGACTACCTTCAAGCCATCAAGCTTGGAACCTTTGTTCCAGCTCCGAGAAATCAGATCCCACTCCGCATCAAATTCCCGACACATCAAACAGCCGTAGCGAGCATCCATAGCCGTTAGAATGACTGCGGCATAGTAATCGCGGGGAGCAGTTGTGAGATCCTCGAACGAGGCGTTGTCCAAATCAACAGGCCCGGAACGAGAGAGCGAATGGAATTTTTGGAATTTATCGGGCGTAGACTTCGCGGCAAACACGCCGGATAGGACCGAAAGAAACAAACAAAGGGTGGTCCAGGGCTTCATTTTGGCATTGATGCTGGGTTGCAAGTGAGCTCTGCAAGCATTGGAAGAAGGTGGTACTTGGTCAATAGCTCGGAGGTGAAAGGTGGCCCATTACGTAAGGGGCCCCGCTCAAAATATACGCGTTCAGTGGATCGCGATAACATCTACTATAATTGGTCTTTCAACATTAATTCTCAAATTCACCCCCATTATTTTGAGCACCTTTGCCTATCATGGCGGTAGCTATGGAGGCCTCAATCCTGGATGTACGTGTATCTGAATTGCTATAAGATTCCTGGCTAACAGTTCTAGTGTGAGATGTCCATGAAAACAGTTCGCCTCGAGAAGGAATACGAAAGGGCTCTTGCAGACTCAGCGCATCTTCTTGATGTGGAGAAAGATCGCGTCAGGCGGATGGACCAATTGCTTCTTCAATTCGAGAGTGAAAACCTGCGATCGCAATTAGATCAAGCCAATGCGCAGTTACGTGGACTCATACGCGCCAAGTCGGACACACTCCTCCAATTAGACGAGGCTTGCCAGGAAATTGATCGCCTAGATCGCCATGTACAGGCATCATCAAGCGAAATTGGGAAGTTGAAGGTAGGTGCACTTTTCCCTAGCGATTTGACCTGTCTACGGATCGAAGGGCTGTGATCTAAAGGAATACAGGACGAACTTTCAGCCATGAACAGTACTTCGACAAGCTACAATACCCTCCTTTCCGAAAAGTTACATCTAAGCCGAGAAATTTTCAACTTGAAATCAGAGCTAGACCGATTAAGATCCCAAAACTCTTCTCACCAGGCATCCGTAGCTGGGAAACAAGAAATGGAGCGGCTGTTGAATTCCTTGGAGGTTCAGCTTGAAAGTGAAAAACATTCCCACGAGCGCACTCGAGCCAAGAATTTGCAGCAGGAGACGGAGATAAGTACGCTTGTAGCGAAGGTCGAGGAACTACAAGGCGAACTCACGAAAGAGCTGCGAGCGAAGCAACAATATGAACGAGACAACCGTCAGCAAGCCTTGGGATGGGAAAACCAGCGCGGTGTACTCGAGGGCAAGATTGAGACACTGAGAAAGCAGCTTCGGTCAAACAAGGACAAAGCGCAGGAGGCTCAGCACGATTTGCAGCAGAAACGCACCACTGTCCGGAACCACGATACTGAGGGCACTGACCCGCGATCTCGAATGATCCCTCTACAGCGTCCTGGTCCCAGTGCCGATTACCAGAATGGCGTCACTATCGCAACGCCTGGAGCTGTTCGCGTGCAAGAAAAAGTAAAACGACAGTCGGCATTGCCTGGCGACAAATCAGCATTCTCGATTACTCCGTTCCTAAACCGAACTGGTGCTCATCAAGCTTCTCCGTCCAGCTCAGACCTAGACAACGAAGAGGTTGGCCAGGCAATGGCAGACATCCATTCACCCCTCAGAGCCCGCATCACCCATGACCCAAGTGGCCTGGACTCATCCCCCACGGATCAGCCAGATTTGATACGACGCATTGACAACGAAGAAAAAGCAAGTTTCAAAATCCGACAAGGAAAGGCTCCCAATGAGCCCAAAAGATCTATCAAACGGCCTGATGAAAAGTTGCCACTGAGGGAAGTGGATGCATACCCAGATCTCTCAACGGACCACGGACAGACAAAGATAAAAAAACGGAAGCTTGGGGCTCAGCGGGACCGAAATTTATTCGAGGACGATGAAGAGGATCTTCTTGAACGCAGAAAGCCAGGGCGCAAGGTTGGACTGGGAGCAGGTCGGATCTCGGTGCTTGCGAATGCACAGGTTTCTGGTGCACCAGTCGGTGATAGACCACCGAGAGCTTTGGGATTCGGAGGATTTTCACCTCTGAAGCGAGACCGTAAGCGATGAGATAGTTACACCATTAATGAATTTGGCCTGCTCATCCAACATTGTTAAAAGACATTCTGCGAGTCAAATTGTAGTAGGGCTGTTCAAACAGGATTCTCTCACATAATAGTAACACTGGCCATACAATGGGCGGATCTTTTTCTGCCGGCAGAAAGTCACTTCATTCTCGGGACTCGATAACATCCAGTAATTATACAACGATTTTACGTCCCTACACGCGCCAACATGTTGATGATTTCTTTAATCCGACCCTGCCAGGGTACTCTAAATATCGGAGTGCTTGGTCAAATCCGGCAATCATCGTCAAAACGATGGCAAGCTCGGCAGCATAAGGATCAATTCACCCGAGAAGCAGCGGTTCAAGGCTTGAAGAGCCGAGCTGCTTTCAAGCTTTTACAGGTCTGATCAGCCCCACTCCCTTTATGAACCTCTTTTGCTAGAGAATCCGACATTTCCTAATATTCCGTATATAGATTGATGAGAAATACCGCATCTTTAAGAAAGGTCAAACGGTCGTGGACTTGGTATGGCTACTGAACGGAGCCACGGAGAGCAACTGATAGAGAACTAACTCTTAAATTTCCCCTAGGGATATGCGCCCGGGTCATGGTCACAGGTGATTTCCCTTCCCCTCCCCCCAAGCCTACCCCATCAGGGCCCCGCTGACGACGCTGCAGGTAGCTGTAAGCCGGACACAGCCAAATGGGCGGGTTCTGGGTGTTGATATCATCCCGGCACAGCCCCCAAAAGGGGTTTCTACCATCCAGGGGAACTTCCTTGCCCCCGAAATCCAAGCATACATACAGGAGTTCCTTCGCAGCCCCAATAGAGGCAGGCCTCGTGAACAAAGTGATACAGGCGGGAGCTTGTTGGAGCCTGAGGTGCCCATGCGGACCAACGATCCAGATACCTCTGCAAGTCAAAATGATAAAATCCTTCAAAGAACGGTGGATGTGGTTCTCAGCGATATGTGCGAACCCTGGCTGCAGACATCTGGTTTCTGGAAACGAAGTCTAAGTAATCCCTATAACAGGATGATGAACACCAGCGGAAATAACTTTAGAGATCATGCTGGCAGTATGGTATGTCTCCTTATCATCATGCTAGTCCACAAGGAATTTGTTCGCTAACCTGTCATAAAGGATCTTTGTCATGCTGCTTTAAAATTCAGCTCCGATGTTCTGAAGACCGGGGGACATTTCGTTTGCAAATTTTACCCCGGAGCAGAGGATAAAGAGCTGGAGAAACAGCTGAAGGACTTGTTTCAAAAGGTCCACCGGCTGAAGCCTGAATCATCTCGCAGTGTAGGTTATCCCTATCGTGGTTTACCTTCGGTTGTAATAGCTAAACCCGCTGGCAGGAATCTAAAGAAACATTCTTCGTTGGCCTGGATCGCAGATCATGAGGTGACTCGTGGTGCCATGTGATGGCATATTACTCTATAAAATCTCATTTTCTTCTTCTTCCGCCTCATCCCAGTCAATATCGGCCAGTGCTGCTTCGGCCCTTTCATGAACCTGATTATATGTCAGAGCAACGATAACGCGGGTGATGAGATCGCCGTTCGAACTTCCTTACCTCTTTCAAGCCGCTCAGCTCCTCTACGTACCCTGGCTGGTCCAAAGCCTTTCGCACAAAATCCCAGCCTTGTTGCTTGTACGCACTTATCACTTTTTCTGAACAGGCACTGCAACAGGGGTAGCTCTTGCCGGTGACCGTGATATTTTCAAATGTTGCGAGGAACCCACGTATTTGGTGGGGTACAAGTCCCAGAGGATGATCTCCACGCTCATCATTTCGATTTAAGGGGGCAGGCGCAAAAACCCCCTCTGGGTGTTGCAGTACCGATACCAAAAGTTCAACCAGGAGTGCTGAGGCGATAGCGGCAACACCAGGGCGAGTAACCGTGCATTGTTGGTCGAGTGTTTGATCCTTGATGGACTATTGAGCGGTCAGCCATGCACCCATTAATCTTGTCGGTGATCTCACATTCGCTGGTGCCACAACATCGTTACAGAAATAGCACCCGAGGTCCGCTGTTGTATCCCCTACCCCGGAAGTGCCATGACGCATTGCCACGAAGGAATCAAATCCAAGAGCGGCATTCATCACGATCTTTCCCGCTGCCTTTCCCATCACGGTGGGTAACCAACGTGACTCCCGGGTGTCCATGAGAAGGAAAATGGCATCGTGTTCATCAATGAGAGCCTTAAGGGTCTCAAAATCACCTCGAGTCGAGCTTTCGTCAACGATTGGATGACCGGCCATAGGCACGGTAATTTCATGGCCAATAGTATCCACTCCCGGGTATATCTCAGTCAGAGCCTGAGATGCTCGAGTGGCTTTGGCAGCCCCGCCATTCAGACAATCTGCAAAAATAAATAACGGTTGTCGAACGGGATTAGAGAATGAGACAGTGCCTTTGTCGACAAAGGTAATTTTTTTTACTCCCCAACCCTGGTATGATGTTAGCGCCACCCCCTTTGGCTCAACGCTGTCAATTTCATCTGCTTTTACGCCTTACCAATAAATTTCGAGCAACGTAGCTCCCGAGAGTACCCGCTCCGAGAAGAAGACATTTCGTGTGCTTGATCTTCTCTAGATTCAACGTCGGGCTGATTCGCCATTTCATGAGTTTGAGATTGAGGTCGACTGATTGGTCTGCCAGCCTGCAGGAAAGGAATATTAGTTTGCGGGCTTGCGCCCTATTTTCTTTTTGGTAGAGCAGTCCATATGTACCTTATGGGGTCCATATACTCTGTGAGGCTAACAATTCGCCCTGCCAGCTTCCCTGCTGGATTGCGCTCCCAGCCAGTTATTTTGGGCAATTGAACCTGGACTTGCGGCTGTTTTACTGCATCTGGGGCCGTCGATTTTAGTTCCAGTCGGATTACTGTACTCCTTCCTTGGTCACGTTTCGACTGCACATCACGATATCGTAGAATTTGCACTTGATCAAGTCCCCATCGTTGTTTCACTAAAACCAGCAGATTTCGCAGCATCCAACCCGGAGCAGTGTCATAATTGGAAGGGTCCGCAAAGCATACGTAGCGATCCTTGAGTGCTGCACCAGTGAAAAACCCATTCTCGAATTCGGACAAGGATGCAACCTGCCAGATGCTTTGTGTCAAGGAACCAGATGCCCTTCGTTGCTTCCGAGCCAAGAAAAACCCCCTCTGGCGGTCATCTGTACCATAGTTCCAGGTTTGAACAGCCTCCACGAGGGCCATGCTTTCATCAGGTGGTATACTTTGTCCCTGGGATATCGAGGTCACTTCGTCTTGGTAGGACTTGGCTTGAGGCCCCAAGGATTCCACCCACGACGGATCAGAGTGAAGGGCGGGGAAGGCAAACCAGTAGTAGAACTTGTACTTTTTTAAGTCGGCAAATGATAAAATGATGAATGACGACAGCAAGGAAGGACAAGAATATATGGTCCCGTCGTTGATAGCGTCCCAGATCTAATAATGATTAATACTAGTCGCATCAAATTTGTCTTGTAGAAGATGGCTGGGCAATGAGCTCGTACCGTTTTCCCTGCTTGGAGGATCATCTTAGATTTGTCCACGTTGCGATATTCTTCGATCGTATTGACATTCTTGATCATGCCCTCTGCACGGTACAGCCCTGCGGGTGCTCTGTGCGTCAAATCAGCAACCACCTATTTCTTGATATGGATAAGCGAACTTACTCCGCACTCGTGAGTGCATTTCCATGGATTTGCATTCGACATGAGGCATTCGCAGAGTCTGTGGAGCGGATCTCATAGAGCCCTAGAACCTGGCGGGCAGAGTCGTCCAGCTTATCATGATTGATCTTGTGTGAGGCAAGAGCCGTGTAGAACGGCAGCTCAATATCAGAGACAAACGGAGTATACTGCATTTTGACCGCAGGACATGTCCTAGTTTCGCTGTATCGATTGTTTTCTGTGGTGGTCTTAAGAGGGTATATGGTTCAAGGTGTTGATAAGGGAGTATATATCAGAGGGGAAAGTGGGGGGGGGGAGGTAAGTACATTGCCTCGGGGGTGACGTAATCGATGTAGCACGCGAACCGTCAAATCCTAAGTTGGTGGCCCGCGTGCCCAAAACGCGTGATCGCCCACTTCTCTTTATTTATTTTTTATTTTTTTGTCTTTTTTGGGTCTTAAGCCCGGGAGAAGGAAGGTCAGGAGGAAGGAACACAACTAAAGAGGGGTAAGACCTTCCAAAAAAAACCAAGAAAAGAAGGGTCTTATGAAATAGAAAAAGACATAAGAGCTGATAGCTGATACAGAAACTATTTCTCGCCAGTAAGATGCTTATCGGCTTATGTGGAGGTCAGCACACCTTTTGACTCCGCCTCATCTACTGAGAGACTGACCATGTTCAAGGGATCTGTGCGGGCAAGCATGCCATTGCCGAGTACTTGATTCAACACCAAGGATTTCAGCTCTTGGAGCTAACAAATCAGCCGCACCATCGTATTACCGACGAGCCGGATGATGATTTGCGGCTCCAAGCGTCGGAGATCAAGAAGAATGGAGAACAGGCGAAATTTGGGTTTACCACCGCCGATGCTCTCGTGGACTTTGTGACCAAAAGGTGGCAGGAACGTTGGGTGACTACGGACATCGCGGACGGCCCCACCCTGGATCGCTTTCTCCTGCGTCCTTTTTTCCTCCTCGTGAGTGTGGATGCTCCAGTCAGCCTTCGCTGGAAGCGATTCTCCGACAGGTTCGTTGCCCCAAGACATATTTCAGCATGGCCTCGCTCAATTCCCATTTCCTCTTATACAGATGCTGGCGAAGACAGCTAGACCCGCCAGACCTCGAAAAATTCGTCCTGTGGAACGATCGTCATCTTTACCAAAGAGACATTGGGCGTGTCTACCTTACAGATCGGGCCCAAGTGCGCCTCTTCAACTCTTCGTCATCTCTTGACGAACTTCATCAATCGCTCCAGACACTGGATTTAGCGGATGAGCAGCGACTGCGACCAAACTGGGACCAATATTTCATGCAGCTGGCGTCTCTTGCGGCACAGAGAAGCAACTGTATGAAACGACGTGTGGGTTGCGTGGTTGTTCGAGAGCGGCGGGTCATCAGCACGGGCTATAACGGGACACCTCGACATCTCCCCAACTGTAATGAAGGTGGATGTATGGGAAAATTCAACGATGTTTTTGAAATGCCCTTGCTAAGCTATTATCCAGGTCCCCGGTGCAATCGTGGTGATGGCGGTGGAGTTGGCCTATCCGCCTGCCTATGCCTCCATGCCGAAGAAAATGCACTGCTAGAAGCCGGTCGAGAGCGTATTCGAGAGGGTGCGATTCTTTATTGTGACACGTGAGTTGGACTGTGGTTCAATATCTCAGATAAGATTAGATTCTTACTGCATTTGATCTTAGGTGCCCGTGCTTGACTTGTACCGTCAAGATTACCCAGGTCGGCATTTCAGAAGTAGTCTACTCTCAAAGCTACAATATGGACCAAGAGGTATATATGTGCATCCTCCCAAATCCTACGGGATCTCACTAATCTCTTCATACAGAGTGCTGCCATTCTTGAAGCTGCCGGCGTGCGCTTACGACAATTTAGCCCGGTAAGAATCCCTACCTTCATCTGCTGCTTAGCAAGCTCCGTGCTAAAATACACCAATCGGGATAACTAGCCGTCTAAGGGGCTCATATATTTGCAACAGTCAAATGAGCCAGCCGCTTCGTCGTGACGAAAATTTATTAAGTTGATACTCGCCCCTATCTCGTGGAAATACGAATACATGACTCAAGTACACTGTTGGCTGTACAATCCCTCGAGCGAAGTGTATTTCATTGATTTCCTTGACATATAGCCAACAGCCTAAAGAATGGGTTCGAAGAAACAGACACGAGAAATGGAGAAAAAAGTAAAGCAGTGTTTAATCATCCATAGCATTTGGAAATGTACTTACGTACGGTGAATGTACCCTTCCCCACATTGGATAAGTGATTCTGCCGTGCAGAAAAAAAAAAGATGTATGACTCAGCGTGTTCGGTTTGGAGGGGCTTTCGATGACTCCGTTTCTCTGCTGTGTCAAGGTTACCAGCTTTTACTTTTTGGCAAAATTATTCATCATGCCGACCGTCCACCTTTTAGACTACGTTGCGGGTAACATTCGCTCTCTGGTCAATGCAATCAATCAAGTCGGCTACGAAGTGGAATGGATCAAGTCTCCCGATGATGTGAAGAATGCCGAAGTGCGTCATTTGTTAAATCTATACGAGTGCCAATCTGCCTACAATTTGCTAATTACATTCTATGTGGCAGAAATTGATTCTCCCTGGCGTCGGCCACTTTGGACATTGTCTCTCACAACTCGACAAAGGCGGCTTTCTAGGCCCTATCCGGGAACATATTGACGCGGGCAAGCCGTTCATGGGCATTTGTGTCGGTCTGCAGGCACTCTTCCAAGGCTCTGAAGAAGACCCCAATGTCCCAGGACTGGGTGTGATCCCCATTCGCATTCAAAAATTCGATGATTCGACCAAGAGCGTGCCGCACATCGGGTGGAACTCGGCATTGAATACCGGAGCCGCATCGAAGGAGCAAAGCTTTTACGGACTGAGGCCGTCAAGCAAGTACTATTACGTACACTCCTATGCAGCACTTTATGAGGCAGGTGTTCTTGAGAGAGATGGCTGGTCCGTTGCCACAGCCACCTATGGCGAGCAAGAGTTCATCGGTGCAGTCAGCCGAGACAACATTTTTGGCGCACAGTTCCACCCCGAAAAGAGCGGCGTGGCAGGATTACGAGCCATCCGGGCTTTCCTGACTGGGGATCAGTTCCAGTCACTCCCCCAAGAGTTGGTTGCTGGCAAAGCCGATGGACTGACTCGGCGCGTTATTGCCTGCCTTGATGTACGGACCAACGATTCCGGTGATCTTGTCGTTACAAAAGGAGACCAGTATGATGTGCGTGAAAAGAGCGGAGCAGATGCCGGTGGCCAAGTCCGAAATCTGGGAAAGCCAGTTGATATGGCCAAGAAGTATTATGAACAGGGGGCAGATGAGGTGACATTTTTGAACATCACTTCCTTCCGAAACTGCCCGCTTGTGGATACACCTATGCTTGAGATCTTACGCCGAACATCCGAAACAGTATTTGTGCCTCTAACCATCGGTGGTGGTATCAAAGATACGGTGGACACTGACGGCACCCGCGTCCCCGCGCTGGATGTGGCCACAATGTATTTCAAGTCTGGCGCAGACAAAGTCAGCATTGGTTCGGATGCTGTTTTTGCCGCGGAGGATTATTACCTAGCTGGCAAGAATCTGAGTGGTCTCACTGCAATTGAGACCATCTCCCAGGCATATGGAAAGCAAGCTGTGGTGGTAAGTGTGGACCCTAAGCGTGTCTATGTGGAACGACCTGAGGACACTAGCCACCACACTATTAACACCGCATTCCCTAATGCGGCGGGACAAAGTTATTGCTGGTACCAGTGCACAGTCAAAGGTGGCCGGGAAACTCGAGACATGGATGTGCGACAACTAGTGCAGGCGGTTGAGGCCATGGGAGCCGGAGAAATCCTGCTCAACTGCATTGACAAGGATGGAAGCAACAGTGGATTTGACTTGGAGCTGATCAATGATGTTAAAGCCGCCATAAAAATCCCTGTTATTGCTTCCAGTGGCGCAGGGAACCCCGGTCATTTTGCAGAGGTCTTCAGCAAGACTACTACGGATGCCGCATTAGGAGCCGGCATGGTAAGTTGAAACATATTCCAAACCAATATGAAAAAAGGTGACGGCGCTAACTTTTATGTAGTTCCACCGCGGGGAATATACCGTGAGTCAGGTCAAAGACTACTTGCAGGACGACGGATTCTTGGTACGGCAATTCGAATCCCAGCTTTAAACACGCCATGTAAATTGATTCTGTAAATGGAACGTGATCGCTTGAATATAGAGTTATTTTAGAAGCCAGTTAAAGAACTTTGTACCTCTTCGACGTCTTTTTACTTTTGTAATCATCGACGACAAAGACCTCAGAAAGGTCACGGAAGCTTGTACCATTTCTAAGAAATCCTTAATGCGGACGGTGCCCCTCTGTGACATAAGCCACTGGGCGGTGGATTGGGCGGTATCATCTGACTTTTCCGCCGTTTGCCACCAAGTCCAACTTCCACCTTTCCCTCATCTCCCCCTCTTTCAACCACAACCACAACCCACGAATACGCGACCACCACCATTGTACTGCTATAGACTGACACAGATCTTATCTGGCATGGCCTGACCCTGAATACGGAAATTAGACGGGTTCTACGTGGTTCATTTACGTTGGTCTGACTTTAAGTGACGGAGGTGGCTCTGTGCGGCAGCAGCGACAGTTCTTTTTCGACAATTGTATTCATCAGTGTTCTTCATTTGTATGCAGTGTGGTTGCTTGCTCATTCACATTTCCAAGAAGAAAATTCTTACCCAATCCATCAGTTCTCCCCCGATCGATAGGCCCAGTATTGATCGTGAAATTCACTGCGCTAAATATCCTTGCATCCTGCTTTTCGGACCTTTTTCTCTTCTCCTCTCCTTTCCCTGCTGAGCTCAACTGGTGCCGGCTGACCTCACTATTCTCCCTGATCTGCTTCCCAGCTGCTCCTGTTATCCTTCCACTTTGTACCCCTGTGGTTGTGCTGCTGCCCCTTAAGCTTCTCATTTGCCCGAGGACCAGATCCCCTCTTCTTTTCTGTTTGCACGCACACAGAGAATTCAATACAATGTCATCGTCTGTTCATTTCAAATTCAAGTCCCAGAAAGAACCCTCGCGGGTCACCTTCGATGGCACTGGTATTTCTGTCTTCGAGCTCAAGCGAGAAATCATCAGCCAGAGTAGATTGGGCGATGGCACTGACTTCGAACTGTCCATTTACAACGAAGACACAAAAGAAGGTAGGTTACATGGCCTAGGTTTATCTTGCAACAATATCTCTGACCGTTCTTAGAATATGATGACGATACCACCATCATCCCTCGATCTACCTCGGTCATCGCCCGTCGCTTGCCTGCAGCTCGTCCTGGAAAAGGCGGTGCAGCTCGTTATGTCTCCGGGAAAATGCCCGTGAATGCCCGGAATGCGTCTCGGACCGAACCATCCATCAGTCGAACCACGCCGGGGACTGGCCAGTCTGTCAATAACAATGTGTTGGAGCTTACCAATGCGCAAACCGAGGAGGAGAAGATCAACGCGCTCTTCAATCTGCAGGCGAGCCAGTGGAAAGAACAGCAGCAAGAGATGGCCAAGTAAGCAAATATCTCTCCGATGATGAACATCCAGATATCTAGAATACTGACACCCCTTTTTAGTGCAACCCCGGTCCCATTTGGCCGTGGCCGAGGAAAGCCGGTGAATGTTCCCGACCATCCACCACCTCCTGGGTATCTGTGCTATCGGTGTAGAGAGAAAGGTAGGGCTTCTATCGCTATTACATACAGTATGAGTCACCTCTAACGTTCAATTTCAGGTCACTGGATTCAAGCCTGCCCAACAAATAATGATCCCAAATTCGATGGCAAGTACCGGGTTAAACGATCTACCGGTATCCCACGATCCCTTCAGACAAAGGTTGAAAAACCGGAGTCCTTAGCACCCGATGGTTCCAGCGATGAATCGAGGAATACGGGAGTCATGGTAAATGCGGATGGTGATTTCGTCATTGCAAAGCCGGACAAGGCAGCATGGGAACTGTACCAAGAAAAGCTGAAGGCCTCTGCCGCAGCGGCAGCGGAGGCAGCGGCGGCGGAGGAGAGTCGGGCGCTGCAGGCTCGGGGTCTGGAATGCCCAATTGACAAGAGAATGTTCTTAGAACCAACAAAGACACCATGTTGCCACAGGACTTATTGCAATGACTGTATTTCAAATGCCTTGATTGAAAGTGACTTTGTCTGCCCTGGCTGTGCTACCGAGGGTGTCTTGCTTGATAATCTCACCCCGGATGACGAGGCTGTTTCCCAAAGCAAAGCTTATGAGGCCGAAAAGGCGGAGGCGAAAAGGGAGAAGGAGAAGCAATTGACAGTTCCGGATGACCCTACAGCCCATGAGACCCCTGAGCACGATTCTGTTAATGATTCTATGGCTAAAGCGCAATCTCCAGCCCATCAAGAGGCAGATACCACGTCCACTGAGTCAAAGAAGCGACCAGCCGAAGTCGATCCGGCTGAGGGTTCTGGCAACTCCCATTCTGCTAATGTGGCCAAAAAACAAAAAGGAGAAGACCAGACCGACCAGTCAAATCCCAACCCCAATCCCAACACCATCGCTCAGGGGCCTTTGAAAGAGGCTCTAAGTGGACCTCAGGCGCCCATGAATCCACAAATGTCATTTAATGGGTTTGGTGCAATGCCCCCCTTTGCAGATCCCAGTTATAGCAATGATGGAATGGGTTTCATGAACCCAATGGCCATGCCCAATGCCTTCCCTAACGCCATGGGTCCTGGCTGGAATCCCATGAACATGCCCTTCAATCCTCTACAAGCTGGTATGTTTGGCGATCAGTCAAATGGATTTTCCAACATGTTTAACGGTGACCCATCTATGTCAATGTTTCCAATGGCTCAAATCGCTGCATCCATGCAGAATCCTGGGTTCCAAGGTCCAGGGATGAACGGATTTTCAAACCAACAGCGGACTGCATTCAGTGGTCCTTACTCACGCGAGGAAGACTCACCGTACTTTCGACAACCTGTGAATCCCCAACGTCATCAGGCAAGAAATCGTCGAGTGCGACCGAGTGATTACCGGGAATTGTGATGACCCCATTCTCAAGGCGTTTTGGGTGAGGTGCACAATGTATAGGAAGTCATTTAGAGCGGCTTTTGTGCTTTTTCTCTTTCCTCTGCTTTCATTTTTTGCGAGCGAGCCTTTTGGTGATTTATGCATAATTATTCTAGGAGGTTCACCTTTGTTTCCGCCTCGCCCCCCTTTTTTTCTTTTTTTTCCTCTTCTTTTTCTTTCCAATCCCATCAGCCCAAGTGTAAATCTAGCCAGGTTTTCAACCCAGAGCAAATTCTCTTTTCCTTTCTATACTCAGTAGTCACATTCCTTGGGGTCCTTGATGGTAGCTGCGACCACTAGCATAGTGAAATAGTGAAATATTGATATTTTGTTCTCAAGAATCCACATACTATATACTAGACGTTGGATGACTTTGATCCGTATAGGGTGATATAGCACCATACAGAATGAATGTAACTGTCTAGGTCTTGACCTGGAACCTCCTGCTCTTGCACCCCTCCGTCCAGAAGACCATTAAGGAGTTCAAGGGTTATGTGATTCAGAATGGGTCAAGGTACTCCGTATAATTGTATAGTTCAGCCCAAGTCAGGTGACTACACTCCAGAAAATCCCGCCCCAGATGTCCACACCGCAAAGCATCATCACTCTTCCTTAGCTCCCTTATGTTCCAACACCCCTCCTACTCATCACATTTCTATCGAAATCATCGAGAAATCTATCATGGCAAAATTCATGAATAATCACAGTAGTAATTACGGCCAGATGGGGCGTCTTAATCAAGAATCCACCGTCTTGGCCAGCTGCTACTCTGTTGAATCATCATCCACCAAGGTTCAGGGCTTCCACTACTGCAGTACCCTGGGTGCCGGTATGTCATAGCCCTCTTCTATCCTCAACTTGCGTTCTAATACCCCCAACAGGAGCACAGTGGTATCCCTGAGGTCCCCTCAGGGTCTAAATCATCCATGCGAAGTCCTCCCCTCGACCTTCCCACCAGCATAGAACGAAGCTGGCCTGGGAATAACTGGCCCGAGTACAAAGGGGGAGGCAACACAAACCATTCCGGAAGAGTGTGAGAGACTTTTCTGTGACAAACTGTTCACGACATTCCTTGGTGAGGGGACTGGCTTGACACAGGAGTCGCTAGGAATGGGTGTGTTCCAAAATATCCAGGCAAATCAGATGGGGCCTATACATGATCGAATCCGCCGATGGATTGAAGTGTGGGATTACACCAGTGATGCCATTTACCGCGGATTCGTGGCAGACGTAGACGGAGAGCAGACACTCTTTGTCTTCCTCGAGAACGGTGCAATTGGACATGGCTTGAAGTCTGGGTAAGGGTTCTCCAACGGCCTCATGCTTGCTAACTTTATGGACTTGCCTGCTAACCTAACCCCTGGTGCAGACTGATAGCCCTTTTTGAACTGGCGGGAACCGATGCCTTTGACTGTTCTCAAATTGTGGCTTGTGTCAAGCGCTCACAACAGACAAACGAAATGGAGCTCGTCCGAAGCCTTGGATGGTGTGGATTTAGTCTGACCACCCTTGGGCCATGGGCCACAAGTGGTGATTCGGGTCCATTTCTCAGTACCAAATGGCTCTTCCTGGTGGCGGAGATCTAGATGATTTCTCTAACCTTGTTTTCAACAGTACTTGGAACCCTTGGCGTCTTGAATCGGGAATTTCTTTCCTTGCCTTCCCTCGCACTCGCTATCTACTTGTGATATGCATTTCTTATGCTATCTCATTCTATCTCCTAGTCTTCCACTTGAAGAGCTAGCAGTTGCTTTCTGGGAGTGTCTATTTTCCTTCCCCTAATTTAAATTAAATTATTGTTATCTACCAGCAAACAATAGTCACTCAATATTCTCGAAGACTTCTGTACTATGTACGATGCGAATACTTCATCATTCTCATAGATTTCCATGGTAGTACGACAAGATACACGTGACGGGTTCGAGTAATCATGCGAGCTGTCATAGCACCTTCTATCCCTAGTTTTCCTGGTGTTGCGCTAAGTTGCTAATAGTTCCCCCTCTCTGAACATAACCTCATTTCCGAAATAGCCATGCCGAAGGAGAAAACCAAGTCCTCTACCTTTCCTCGTTTCCTTCTCCCTTCATTTCCTAACAAACAAGATGTGGGGTCATCCCCGAGCCCCTCCGACCCCACCAAGTACCTAGATGGTCATGTCTCTTATCTCCAGTGCACAGGATGTGCTGCACAGCTCTGTTTGACACTGCAAATCATCAGTAAAGGCTTTACAGGGCGCCATGGCCGTGCCTATCTTGTTTCTGCCGAGTCAGCCGCTGCTGTATCAGTCAGTGCATCCTCATCGCCGACTGCTTCCCTTCCAAATACCGTTTTACACCATCCGGTTCCACGACAGCTAGTGACAGGAGCCCATACAGTCAGCGATGTCAGCTGTGCATTCTGCGGTAGCGTGCTGGGCTGGAAGTATGTGGCTGCAGAGGAGGAATCCCAGCGCTATAAAGTGGGCAAGTTCATTCTAGAGACCAAGCGCATCACCACGTCATCGTGTTGGGAGTCTCCACCAAGCCTGAATCTGTCCGTTGAGAAATTTCGGGGAAGTTCGGATGGCCCACAACCCTTGGAGCTTGAGTTTGATAGCCAGGATGAAGATGAATGTGAAGACCTCTTTGCAGGCATCTGGAGTCCAGGCCTAGCTACCCGTCGCAGAAGTCGTAAAATTGATCGGCGGCCCGCGATGTTTGGACTGTCATAAGGGGCGAAAGAAAGAAAAACCAGGATTTTTGATTATTTATCTTTTGAGCGAAGACTGTCCCTTCTATTTATTGCATGATACCCTTGGATGTTCCTTTCACTAGTATAGTCTAGACTACTATGAACCCTCCTTACTTATTTTATATATCCTTTCCTATAAACCCCAGAGAAAATGTGCATTACTTGACCAGTCCATATCTTCGCAAGGCTTCTATGAACTGTACAGTAAATCCGTAGACATGATAACAAGTGCTCTAATATTGTCCCGGTTATAGAAAAAAAAAAGAATTTAAGTCAGAATTGCATTCATGAAGAGGGAGCATCATCCACGCGTGTACGTTTCGAGCCACTCTCAGAGGGAGCATCTCCAACGGGGCGTTTAGATGCCGTAGATTGCGAAGCAGGCTGAGTTGCAGGCTTTCGACGAACTAGCGAGGAAAGATCGGTTGCTTCCTTGCTGGCAGAATCCAGTCGAGCCTTCTGATCATTGGCAGACTGACCCACGATTTGGCCGAGAATACCTTTGAGAAAGGCTTCATTCTCCTGATTGCCCTGGTCAACAGACGCAGGGGAGCGTCGTAGATCGATCAGCTGTCAGGTGTTAGCGAAATCTGAATGACACGAGAGCGTCGATGTTTGACTTACTCGTTGCTCCATATCTGCGATGATCTCTTTGACATTTGCAATTTTCCTCTTTGAGGCAGTCACCTTGTCTTCATCCATGTCCTTAGCGGCCTCTAGTTTCTCCTCCTCATGGGTCATTCGAACCCTACAGCTCTCAATGGCACGCTCCATTTGAATCGCAGCTTCCTTTCGCATTTCCTCATCCACCGTTTTGTCCTTCTCCCCGTCTTCATCCTCTTGCGGAACTGATGCAAATTCGAGAGCAAGGGAAAGTTTGTAGTGGCACTCGGCAACTGAGGGATCTTCGAACGGGAACAAGGAATATCTCAAAGCAAGCGCAGTTCGCAAATCAGTCACCGCATCACTGAACCTCTCTGCTTCCAGGGAAATTTCAGCCTGAAGGTCGTATGTATCGGCCAGTCGTTCTTTGATATGCTTCACTTCTGTCGATAGCTCAGTTGATTTGCCCTTGGCGTTGTCGCTTTTCTCTGCGACCTCGAGGTTTTTCAGGTAGAGAATACGCGCCAAATCCAAAACCTCGAAAGCATTGGCGAAATCATCCTCATCCTCTTCATCTACGGCCTCGGCATCCTCCTCCTCCTCCTCCTCATCAGAGTCGACGAAATTCTCGTCGCCAGTAAACTGAAAGAAGGGCTTCGACTGCGCAACTTCGGCCTGTTCATTTTTACCTTGAACGGACGAAGGTTTTTTGGTCATGGCATTAGAAATAGCATCCTGGACTGGGTTACTTCCAGTGCCAGATGATCCGGCAGAACCAGCATGCGCTGAAGGGGCTTTGTTGGGTTGAGCTTGAGGCTCTCCAGCAACCTTAGATCCGAGCACATCACTCTTGCTCACTGCGACATTGTAAAGAGATTTTCCGTAGGCGTAGAGTAAATTCGCATTCTCCGGTGAGAGTTCGCCATTCAATTCAGCCTGCAATTCGGTGGCTTGGGAATAGAGTTCTGAAGCGGTGTTATGATCTTTTGTCGCATCCTTAGCGGCAGCTCGTGCGATCAGATCTTTCAGCTGGGCTTGCTTGTCATGAACAGCCTCAGTCTGGGCAGGAGGACTTGATTGCTTCTCAGTCATTGTGTTGATGGAATCCATTTGGGGGAAGGGAGAAGAGAAAAGTAGAGAGGGCGATAAGCGATAAGCGATAATGGATCGCGGTCGCGACGTGTCACGCGTCTCTTCATTTCAGGCGAGAGTTCTGTATCAGGAACACGACTTCTCTTCCCTGAATATTGACAATTGGCCGCTCAGATACATCTGTCTATATTATTGCCTCAATCAAAACCCATCCAAAGCAATACAACCCGCTCAACCTCAACTCATCATGGATCCGACGTCTACCCCACGACATCCAGATCGCTTCAAATTGGGGGCAGCGGACCCAGTTCCTTCCTCCTCGCCTGCATTTGGGACACCAGCAAGACCATTTCGAATGCAGAAGACACATGCTCTGCCAACTAAGACGTCTATCTTACCTATTCTGCTCCCCTCGTCTACGCTTAGACCAGTGGCCTTCCGAACATTTACCCGCAAACATAACCTTACAATTTCATCATCGGCATTGCAAACTTTAGCAGTGTTCGTGGGAAAAAATTGTGGCTCAGGATGGCGAGAAGAAGGACTTGCAGAGAGAGTTCTTGACGAGGTGGCCAAAATCTGGAAAAGAGCTGGCGGAAGTGTCATCGTGGAGGAAGGGAAAGGTGCATCTCTGAAAACGATCCTGCAGACCCTCGAGGGGAGTATGAGTGGTGGAAGAGTCGTTACTGGAAAGGTTCACCCTCAAGATGGATCTGCAAGGTCGTTGAGTGGTGGCTTGGATGCTGGTCGCACCGAATCCAACACCGAAGCGACCAGATCAGGGGATCCAGACGAGGAAGATTCCAAGCTGTCGCTGCACCCAAGGCATTGGTTCAAAGCCATTGATGCTTTTGAACTTCCTCGCCTGACATACAATGTCGACAAGAAATACTTCGAGGCGATCAAGTCCAAGCCCACGCTATTTCCATCCCCCTCACACAAGACTGCCCTGTTTAGAGATCGCTATAACTTGGTCTACCAGCGCTTGCTCCGGAATGAGACCTTCCAAAGTTCCTTGGGGGTAATAGGCGTCCCTTCCCTGCAGCGATCATCGTCGAACCTGGCAACTCAACAGTCATACAAGTTAACACCAATCGCGAACCTCCTAGGGCGGAGTGGCAGCTCTCATCTGTTGCTAGGGCTCCTGTCTATTTCTCCCACTGGTGATTTGAGTTTGATAGACCTCACAGGAAGCGTAGCTTTGGATCTGAGTCATGCACGCATGATCCCAGAGGATGGTGCGTGGTTTGCACCGGGCATGATTGTGCTTGTCGACGGGATCTACGAAGAAGAAGAGATGGTGCAAGGATCTGTATTGGGAGGAAATTCTGGAGTGGGAGGCACCATTGGAGGTCACTTCGTTGGTGTATCGATCTGTGGCCCTCCATGCGAGCGAAGGGATATCTCATTAGGCACAAATAGCCGCCAAGGGAGTGGTGAGCTGAGCTCTAGCGGTGGATTTGGGTGGGTCGATTTCCTAGGAATTGGGAGCGAACGCGCACAAGGAGCACGTATGAGAAGGATTCAAGAGAAATGTCTGAGAGGAGAACCAGAAGTGGTTGAGGCACCACCTCGGCTCAAAATGGCGGTGATGAGCGAGATCAACCTCGACAACATGAGAGCTCTTGATGCTTTGCGGAAAGTTTTCAGCACCTACAATGATCTTGCTCTTGTGGATCGTCCGCAGACCTTTGTATTGATTGGCAATTTTGTGCAGAAAGCGATCATTAACGGAGGTGGCCGAGCTGGGAGTATCGAATACAAGGAGCATTTTGACTCACTTGCGGTGGTTTTATCCGAGTTTCCTGCACTGTTGCAGCATTCGACGTTTGTCTTTGTTCCCGGTGACAATGATCCATGGGCATCCGCATTCTCTGCCGGAGCTGCGTCGACCATACCACGTCAGCCGATACCTGAGCTATTTACCTCTAGGATTAAGCGTGCTTTTGCGACCGCAAATTCCGAACTCGATCGCTCTCAGACCTCAGAGCCGATGGGCGAGGCGTTGTGGACTTCAAATCCGGCACGCCTCTCCTGGTTTGGGCCGGTGCATGACATTGCTATCTTCCGTGATGACATCTCGAGCAGAATGAGGCGTACAGCAATCAATGTACAGACAGATAACGACAATGGTGATGCTACAATGCACGAGGCGCTAGAAGACGCAACAAGTGCCGCGGTCTCTCGAGCGCCAGAGCTGCCCAACCAAGCCAATGGGGCTAAGTCAGATGCTATGGCGCCCGCCGCTTCGGCAGCTCGTAAGCTTGTGAAGACCGTCCTGGATCAAGGGACGGTCTCACCATTCCCACTTCCCATTCGGCCTGTTTTGTGGGATCATGCTTCTGCTGTGCAACTATACCCACTGCCCACTGCCCTAATCCTGGCAGACTCGGATGCCGCCCCTTTCTGCATGACCTACGAAGGATGTCATGTCATGAATCCTGGACGGTTCCTACCTGATGGTGCTGTGCCAACAGTGAGATGGATTGAATATGATGTGTTGCGGAGCCGAGGAAAGGTGAAGGAGGAACGGTATTGATCCTGATGAATTAATTGGCGCTCCGTTTGAGAGGAAGCAAGGCTACTATTTGATTTGGTGACCCCGTATGTAAATTGCGTGGCAGATTACTCACGAGACGATGATTCTGACGCTATAGAACCCTTCTTTTCTAGAACGAGGGTGCATAAATGTGTTCATATATGTACGAGTGCAGCAAAAAACGAAAGGCATAGATAGACGAGTCACATTGAAGGTCTAAGAATACATTCCAGGAGAGACATGAGTCCTTCTAGCAGATCAAGAAGGTTCTCGCCAAAGGCAGATTAGTCAATCGTAATGACATCAGCATTGCCCAGGACATCTGTTTTTGGAGGTGACGCAGTCTCTAATTTGGCAGCACTGATAATATCGTCTGCTTGTTGCTGCTCGGCTGTGCTACCCTGCTGGCCTTGCCTTTGGATTTTTTGCATATTGGGCTCAGGGGGGCATGCGCTCAGAGACGAATGCAGCTTGTAAAGAAGATTGCCAATTTTCTCAAGGGAAGAAATAGCGCCATCACCCAGTCCCTGCCAGCCATCGCCTTTGGAGTTATAGATTTGGTCTTTAACAGCACTTGCGGAATGGCTGCCTTCGGGCGAGTCTGACCGATTGGAATTTTCCAGTAACCACACCATACGGCCCTGCCTGGGGCGTGCAGATAACCGGAATCGATGATTTAATCGAGGGTAATGAAATTGGAAGACCATCGGACTGCGTGCAGTGACATGCACGATTGAAGATTCCGTCGGAACGGCCACAGTGATTTGATCCAGACACTGTAAGAGTGGGAAAGTATCGGTCATGAAACCAATAATGGAGTCAACACCCGTTTCCGAGAAACGATGGTTCAAGGCAACAGTAAGTGGCTCCTGGATGCGACGATGAGGACTGGGACTGTCAAAGGTGACCTTTAGACGTCGGCGGAATAAAGAATCGGTCTTGGAAAGACCGTGAGGTGCGTCAATACAATCGGAAAGAGAAGGTCCAGAAACGTTGATGTCAAACCGGGCAGCAAAACTCTGGTCGGGTCCGTACAAGAATGCAACCTGAGAGAGAGATAATGACTGGGGTTTCATTCCCTGCTTAATCAAAGACTGGAGGATGGAAAGAACGCAGTCAAACCGTTGCAAGCGTTCAAAGAGGCTAATTATGATGGAAGTTCCAGCCGGGACGAGCAAGCGGAGGGCAAATCCGGAACCTTTGTCTTGCATAAGGATTGAAGGGTCTGCCTTGGATACTAGTGAAAGAAGGGACTTGACACGGTATCGGAGACTACCATAGGCCACGAGAACAGCTGACTGGTTCTGACGGTCGACTCCGTGGAAAGAGAGTCGTACAGTATCCTGCAAATAGGAACCCTGGTCGATCCCCGCAGGCAATGCTATTCGAAGAGAGGAAGGAAGTGCGGCTGGTTTGTAGCGAAAGATTATGTCCGGTACCTGAAGATCTGAACCCAGCTGCAACCCCTCCAGTGAAGGATAAAAGTGCGAGTCGGGTAGTTCTGCCAAGAACCGCGCATTAGCATAGATTGCCAACATGCCTGTCAGGCCATGCAATAATTCTGCACACGCCAGGTAGTCGAACCGCCGTTGTGTGGACATCAGAGTAGTGCTGACTGGATGGGCAGGCGATGTGTTATTAGATTCCGCAGACCGAAGTTGAACCAACCACCAGCTATCGCCATCCATACTACTTGTGGCAGCGACAACCCAACGACGATCCCAGAAAGGATGGGTGAAAAAGGCAGAACGCATAGTATTTGAAGGAAACAGGCGACGAATGTCAAGTCCCAGGCCTCTTTGACCAATACTCTCTAAGCCGAGGGCTTTAGTACCAAATTCGATTTCCTCAATCGCAGTGGCACATCGTAGACGCGCAACACGAGACAGGAGCTCTTCAATCGCCGACTTATTTGGATGTCGCTCGTGTTCAGGGCGTTCCAATGTCATTGGCGCACCAGACAGAGTGATGGTCCCCGACAAGGGTTCGACAGAAACTCGAAGAGAACGAGCGGATGTCAATTGTACGTCAAGATAGCAATCGCCAGGTTCTGTAGAGGATAAATGAGCCCGTAGTGAAAGCACATGATTAGAGAAAAGAAGGCTTCTGTTCAGGGCGGCATAAGCGGTGGAGAGCAAATGTGAGGTGTGCAAGGCGATGACGCTTCGCAGAAGGCGCTCCATAGAAAGGTCGTTGGAATCGAACTGCACAGCATTGCTATTTGCCTGCTGGCCATCTCGCATCCAGCGAAGTCCTATTCGAGGAACTTGGTTGCTAGGATCATTCATAACATTGTGTCGCAGGCCTCTTTGAACACCGATCTCTAGCCAGCTCTTTGGTCCGGTCCTTGCTGGCCAGTACTGGACAACCAGTGTTCGATGAAGGAGTTCAATACGCAATGCATCTGACCATAGACCCCGAGCAAGGTCTGCAGCCTGTTTAAAGAGCGTGTTGATTTTGTTGGTCAAGACCAAACCATGAAGAAAATCAAAGCATCCCATTAGGCCATCAGTATGTAATATTTCGTTGATTTTAGCATCGAGCTGGTCGAAGATTCTGCCCTTCGGTATAGGAGATGATGGTGAAAAGAGGAAACGGATGTCCACGAAAAAGAATTGAGATGTAGTTGCCTCTTCTGCAACCGAAAGATCAAGTTCGAATTCTCCAGGTACGGTGAATGTAGCGCGACCGTCATGGACGCGATAATTCCGCAATGGAGGCGGCACTTGATCATATAATGCCAACCGCACGCTGATGATACGATTGATTTTGTGTAATTTTCTTAGCGTTGCCCTTGCATTTAAGGGTTTGGGAGGTTTGTAGCCAAGCTAGAGCAAGCAATATTAGAAACGCTCCTATCAACTGGAACTATGCTTCAAACTCACATCTGGAAGGGTTGCTACCCGGCCCTTGGAGAGAACCTCTAAAGCAGTTTTGAGATCCGGATTGGCTACCTGCGCTCGAACAAGATCTCGTTTCATCTCACCCACATATTGAACCGCGGAGGTATATGCTTGATGTCGAGTGCGAATGAAGCCCTGGATATCAATGAGCCGACTGACCTCTGCTGCCTGGCGACTCCATTGTGAGAGAACCAGGAGCTTGATGAATTCGGCCCTCTTGGCGTGTGCAAAATCTAAGATTCGCACTTTCTTGTTTACATTTTCCACGGACTGGTTCCCCAGAGACTTCCCATTTGTAGCTGGAAGAGAGGATGTTTGGGAGGAGACTGATACTGCAGCCAAGTCTGTGACCAACTCAGAGAGGTCAATCCAACATTGCTGCGCTGCTCGGTTCACAAGTGTACCGAATGGAAAGAATCCTTGTGTGATATGCGGTAGCTCAAATGGAGTCGAAACGGGGTGTTCCATGCTTTGGGGGGTCATTTTTGAAGATTGATTCAAAGCTGTGACATCCCTACTCAAGCCATTCGTATGGACCGGTCCGTTGATGGAAGTAGGGAGCTGGTGGGATTTGTCGCGACTCGGTGCGCCATTTGTCACTTCATTAAGGCCGGAATGTCGCAAAGATCCATCAACGCCGGCATTATCCATGATGACACCGGGCATATCTGAACAAATCGGATTACCAGCGTGGTGTGATTCCTCGGTGGTGCCTCCCCCTCCTGGGCTCTCTGCACAGTTTCAACAAGCGAGCTAGTCCAGCCGCTACTCTGGGCGCAAACCAGTAGATACTGAAGTAGGAAGGGAAGGTGAGAGTAAGAACCAGGTGAGAGGAAATTTCTCAGCCCAGTGCCATGCGTATCACTGGCCGTGCAAAACAATGATCTCGATCATAATCAAGGGAGCTGGGTACACGACCAAAGCTCTAATTGGGGTTGTAGAATAAAGACCCCGATGCCCGTCAGGCGTCGAATTAGATTGACGGGGCTGAGAAATTGCTGGCGGGTTGTTTTTTTCAATTGCGCCGAGTTCCTGCACGATATGATCGAGGATGATGGGGGGATATCTGATCGATTTAGGAGGATTTGCAGAGGAGCGATTTAACGAGGAGAAAAGTATAGCAACCGTGAGCGCAGAGAGATAGATCTCAGGGAAAGAACGGAGGTTCTGCAACGAAGGAGTACAGTCAAAGATGGGCACAGAGGCTCTGATGCCGAAAGGATTGAAGGGCAGAGAGGGAAAGCGCGCGATGCGCATGCACCGCCTTTGGCCCGTTGACGCCTTGGTGCCTTAGTTTCCAGTAAATTTCCAGGTATTATTCGATCAGGGATGTGCTTGTCTACGGGTATTGGCGCCTATATTGCCTGATGGAGCTTGGGTAATTACCGGTACTGTACGGATCGCCCCAAGGGGCCCATCCGCCCCTTCTGACTAGCATGACCTCACCATCTCTCAACGTGATATTGATCATGATATATGACTTTCCCCAACAATGACTCGCCATGAAGCAGAGGTAGAGGCGGAGCAGGAAGCCATCGGTCGGGCCCCTCTTTACCCCGGCGATGATCCTCGACCGACAAGCAAGAAGGAGCTGGCTGGCTGGTATTGTTATGGCTGGGCTGCAGAGGTGTTTACCGTGTGTGCCATGGGTATGTCGTCGATACCCTTTCCCGATTCCTTCGTTGGTGACGCCCTTTGAACAATGCCTTAGCTTCCTTTCTTCCAATTACCCTTGAGCAGATGGCCCGGGATCGTGGGTTCCTTCTATCCGACAAAACGACCCCGTGTAGTCCAACGTGGAACCCTTCTCATCAGGTGAACCATCAATCCGGGTACGAAGCTCAAAAATCAAATTCGAGCCAATGCATTATCTTTTTCCTGGGCGCAGAGATTAATACTGCAAGCTTTGCGCTATATACATTCTCCCTGAGTGTTTTAGTACAAGCTATCCTTATTATCTCCATGTCAGGTGCCGCAGATCATGGAAGCTATCGCAAGAAACTTCTGGTAATGTTTGCTTTCATTGGAGCCGTCGCAACCATGTTGTTCCTTAGCGTCGTGCCCCGGATATATCTCCTGGGGGGGCTACTGGCGATTGTGGCCAACACCTGCTTCGGTGCGTCCTTTGTTCTACTAAATTCCTTCCTACCAGTTCTGGTCCGCCATCATCCTTTGATCATTGGGAAGAGCCGGGATGCACTACTGGGAGAGAGTTTCCAAGATGCCTCTACTCCATTACTCCAACCCGTCGAGAATGAGGATGCCGGTATGACATCTATGCAACTCATCCTTTCAACCAAGATATCGTCCTTTGGAATTGGAATTGGTTATATTGGCGCTGTGGTATTGCAGATCATATCAATTGCCATCGTGGTGATAACCCATCAAACGACCTTTTCACTCCGCCTAGTCTTGTTCTGTATTGGACTGTGGTGGTTCATATTCACTATTCCCGCAACCTTATGGTTGCGCACTCGACCTGGCCCGCCCTTGTTAAGCAATGGGAAGCCTCTTTACACATGGAGGGCGTACTTGGTATATTCCTGGACGTCTCTTGGGAAGACTATTATGCGGGCGAGACGGCTAAAGGATCTTCTCCTCTTTCTCGCCGCTTGGTTTCTCCTTAGCGACGGCATTGCCACTGTCAGTGGCACAGCGGTGTTGTTTGCCAAAACCGAACTCAATATGAAACCCGCAGCTCTGGGACTCATCAACGTGATTGTCATGCTTGCCGGCGTATTTGGCGCATTCTCCTGGAGCTATGTATCGAGAGTATTACGTCTTCGTGCGTCACACACCATCATCGCCTGTATTATTCTGTTTGAACTGATCCCACTCTACGGAATCCTTGGGTTCGTCCCGTCGGTTCAGCGCTTAGGTATCGGCCTCCAACAACCATGGGAGATGTATCCACTGGGAGCTATTTATGGCCTTGTCATGGGTGGGCTCTCCTCCTATTGCCGAAGTTTCTTTGCCGAATTGATCCCACCCGGGCATGAAGCTGCTTTTTATGCTCTCTATGCTATCACCGACAAGGGATCTAGTATTTTTGGCCCTACAATTGTCGGTGTCATCACTGATCGGTATGGTGCGATTCGGCCCGCCTTTGTGTTTCTAGCCATTTTGATCTTTCTCCCCTTGCCACTCATGCTGCTTGTGGATGTCGAACGAGGAAAACGAGATGCACTCGAACTCGGTGCCGACCTTGATGGTTTGTCAGCCTCGGGATATGGCACTATCTCGACAAGCGCAGAAGAATAGGAATTGGTCCGTTGAATGTAGAGCAACTAATTTTCTTTTCTCATTTCGGGGCCTTATCTCATTGTCTTGTTTCAAGTCCTCATTTCCATCTCTCTTTCTCTCTTTCTCCATCTTACCTAATGCCTATACCTGCATCAAGCCACGTACACATCTACCCAAGCTCAATCTATGGAGGGTTTTAGAAAATTATACCAAAACCTGATCTACGTATCATATTTTATTCTTCGGGAAATCAAATTATCTGAAATTGCTTTTCTCTCCCCCCTTCTCCTGTTCTGGTTGAACAACATTCTGCCAAGCACCCTAAGAGCATAGATTGGTCATCTTCATTGGATCGTGTAACTAACGGAAGTTTGGGTAAGCGTGGCCTGAAGGAAAGATATTACTAGTTTCCCTAGAGCACTATATGCATCCCGTGTATAGGGAATGTATTTGTGTACATCTACAGCTGAAAGTTCATGTAAGCTGTGTAGATCTTTGCATAGTCGGAGAAAGGTACAAGTACTAGGTTGATACCTAAGGGCGTGCGTTCCCCTTGCGTGGGGGCCCGCCCTGCATACTGTACCAAAGCAAAGCTCCACTCCCGCAGCCAAGAGAACAAACTGTCCTCAACTTCGGCCCCAATTGTTTTCTTAAATATCATAACCTTTCCCCAAATCTCTTCATACCTCTAAAGCTAGGTTGGTAAGTTTAGACCCCCCCCTCCATCTTTGTTTTGACTTTTCTTGGAACCCACCGAGGCTAATATATAACGCTCTGTAGCTTGTGTTGCACTAGACCCTTTTATTGATCCATTATGCGGTCGTTCACCCCTCTCATTTTGAGCCTTCTGGGTGTCACTGCGGCGGCGTCCTCTGCTGCTGATACCGATTCGGCGACGTCCAACGTGATCTCCCTGACCACGGATACATTCGACGACTTCGTCAAGGAGCACGAGTTGGTCCTGGCAGAGTTCTTTGCTCCATGGTGTGGCCACTGCAAAGCATTGGCTCCCAAGTATGAAGATGCTGCCACAGAGCTGAAGGACAAGAACATCCCCCTGGTTAAGGTGGATTGCACTGTCGAGGAGGAACTGTGCCGCACCTACGAGGTTGATGGCTACCCAACTCTGAAGGTTTTCCGGGGTCCTGAGGCACACACCCCGTACGGAGGTGCTCGTCAGACTGACTCGTACGTTCTTCTCGAGCTAATCACATCCAATTTGGTGTCCGCCTGCTTACACGCTATCTCACCAGGATTGTCTCGTACATGACCAAGCAGTCAATGCCCGCCGTTTCCAGCGTCTCAGAGGAGACTCTGGAGGAGTTTAAAACCCTGGATAAGATTGTCATTGTCGGGTATGTCGGCTCCGATGACAAGACCTCGAACAAGAGTTTCACTTCCTTCGCCGAGGCCAACCGCGATAACTTCATGTTTGCCGCCTCTAATGACGCCGCACTTGCCAAAGCTGAGGGTGCCAAGCAACCCTCTATCGTACTCTACAAGGATTTCGACGAGAAGAAGGACGTTTACGATGGCAAGTTCGATGAGGAGTCTATCATGCAGTGGGTGAAGACTGCCAGTACTCCTCTTGTTGGTGAGCTTGGTCCTGAGACTTACGCCAAGTATATGTCGGTATGTGAAAACGAGGGTATTCGTCTCCTAGCCACTCGATGACTGATTTTTATTCTCTACAGGCCGGTATTCCATTGGCCTATATTTTCGCCGAGACCAAAGAGGAACGCGATCAGTTCACTGAGGACTTCCGCCCGATCGCTGCTAAGCACCGCGGAGAGATCAACATTGTTACCCTCGACGCTAAACTCTTTGGTGCTCACACCAGCAACCTCAACCTGGAGCCTGAGATCTTCCCCGCTTTCGCCATTCAGGATACCACCAAAAACTCCAAGTACCCCTACGACCAGTCCAAGAAGATTGACGCCAAGGAAGTTGGCAAGTTCATAAAAGATGTCATTGATGGCAAGGTTGAGCCCAGCATCAAGTCTGAGCCTATTCCCGAGACCCAGGAGGGTCCAGTCACTGTGGTCGTGGGCCGTAGCTACCAGGAGCTTGTCATTGATAACGACAAGGATGTCTTGCTCGAGTTCTACGCTCCGTGGTGCGGTCACTGCAAGTCGTGAGTCCATGTTTTATTCCCCATATACTTCAAACACCCCTTTAACACTAGCCTAGTCTTGCCCCCAAGTACGACGAGCTCGCCGCTCTGTATGCCGATGTTCCCGAATTCAAGGAGAAGGTCGTCATCGCTAAGATTGATGCCACCGCTAATGACGTGCCTGACTCTATCACTGGGTTCCCAACTATCAAACTGTACCCGGCTGGCAAGAAGGACGAGCCAGTCGAGTATGAGGGATCTCGCACTGTCGAGGACCTGATTACCTTCATTAAGGAGAATGGCAAGTACCAGATTGACGGACTGGCTGAGGGTGCTAAGCTCGAACAGGGCGGTGATGTGACCGCCCCTGCCTCCGCCTCTGAGAAGGCCTCTGAGACCCCAGCTCCATCTGAGGAGAGCCACGATGAGCTGTAAACTTGCCCCTAGTGACCGGCTTTATCTCTCTTTGCAATGCAGTGTCTTGTATTACCAATTTGACATGTCAGTTCTGACTCAAACGTATCCAACACTCGTAGGCTTTTTTCCTGTACATTTTCCTGTAAATTGTAATCAAGAGCTCCGTTCAAGAAAGGCGGGAAAAAATGTTTTTGGACTACGATAACGATTATACGTGTGGATTTGATGGGTCTATACTGTCAATCTCCCGAATTTAGTCAGCTTTCTCTGACGCGTCTCGCGCGCAACGCGTCGATCACCATACCTCAGGGAAAATCGTCAAATTCGGCCCAAGGTCTTTCTGATTAGGCACTTCATCCCAAAGACACCCCTGGTCAACTATCTTACCAAACCTCTATCCACGCCGCTTGCCTATTCAGTATGGTCAGCCCAGCCCTCAAACGAAACGCGGACCACCTCTCTACACCGGCCTCAGACACCAAGAAGCCAAAAGGAGGGAGCATTACATCTTTCTTTGGTGTTCCAAAGCCCAAGGTGCTAAGCACACAAGCCAATGGAGTCGCACCAGCTGCTCGTTCGAACTCCTTCAATAAAGAGAGATGGGTATCGTCTCTCACTGCGGAGCAGAAGGACTTACTGCAACTGGAGATTGATACATTGGACGAAAGCTGGCTTGCCCACCTTAAGGATGATGTCACCACACCCGAGTTTCTGAACCTGAAGCGATTTCTGAAGAAGGAGAAGGACTCCAAGGCCAAAGTCTTCCCTCCCAATGAAGATGTCTATTCTTGGTAAGGGTATCTCAAAATTTATATGGCAAGACGATATACTAAACAAGCAACTAGGTCCCGACTTACCCCACTGCACACTGTTAAAGTAGTAATCGTGGGCCAGGATCCATATCACAACGATAACCAAGCTCATGGGCTGGCATTCTCTGTGCGACCTCCCACCAGGGCTCCGCCATCATTGGTCAACATTTATAAAGGGCTCAAGAAAAACTACCCAGACTTTGCTCCACCACCAAACAATGGTGGTCTGCTTACACCTTGGGCTGAGCGAGGTGTACTGATGCTCAACACCTGTCTCACAGTTCGTGCCCACCAGGCTCATAGCCACGCCAACAAGGGGTGGGAGCCTTTCACACAAAAAGTTATTGACTTAGTTGCCCGAGTACGAACTCATGGGGTTGTTTTTTTGGCTTGGGGAAAGCCCGCTGGTCTGCGGGTAGCTAAGGTCGACCGCAAGAAACATTCTGTGCTCCAATCAGTACACCCGAGTCCCTTGAGTGCACATGCAGGATTCGTAAGTTCCACCAACCATTGTTCTATGGTTCTTGTGGTCGCTTCTACACTTTGCGAACCGAAAACTGACTTGAATATGACCAGTTTGACAATGGCCATTTCAAGAAATGTAACGACTGGCTTGCTTCACGGTATGGTGATGATGAGGTGATTGATTGGAGCCTGGTGCCAACAAAGATTAAGCCGACTGCTCCTTCAAATAAAGAGAATTTATCGACTTTGGGCAATGTCGCATCCGTGACAACAATGGCACCGAAGCCTTTATGTCCTGATGAGGACGCCAACGCTACAGCTTGCCCTGCCGATGAATTCGACGATGCAGATGCTCTTGAAGCCTTAGCAGCAATCGAGGAAGAAGAAGAAGAAAAAGAAAAATCTGCCAAGCTTGTTTGATATTGATTGGAAAAGAACACATGGTCAGATCTCTTCTTGATGGACATTGAAGTATTGTACTGTTTAGCATGGTGATCTGGGCATGGGAATGGGAACAACCAGGAGTAAAAAGAATCTCGTAGTTTATTGTGAAAATTTCAACTATGATGAAAGCCATAGTATTCTGTAATCAACGATGTTATTCTCGAATCAATCTCAGAAACAAGGCCTTCCAAGGTAGTCAAGAGAGCGAATGTATTCAAGGCGGCACGCAGCTCTTATCGATAAGCCTTCGGTTTCTCTTTTCTCCCCGCACTGGATGTGACTTATCCTTGCTATCCTCTCCATGGAGTTTACATGGCAGGCCAATACTCCCCAATGGCGGAGTAGAAACCGGGCTTCACGAGCTTGTCCGACCTGCCAGCGACGAAAGGTGCGTGGACGTGACTCGAAAAATATGGCTGAGCACTGAAAATCCCATAGAAGCGGTGCCGGCACCTCGCTCCTAGTTCAGTGGAGGGTCAACTCCTACCGACACACAATAATACCAATAAGCTTGATACAGTTCGCAATGTCGCCAGTCCTTTGGATTTTCGGGACTCGCATACCCATGGTCTCGCGACCTGGGAGAGAACCTCGTCAGCAGATCCAGCTTTGCAAACAATCCCCAGTACGGAGCGATTCGTAGGAGACTTGAACCCGGAAGCATTCATACGAGAGAAGCTGGATGAAACCACCGGTAACCGTCTCCGGGACCGGGTTGGGCTCTGGATTAGCTCCCCATCTATACAGGATCGTGATCATGATGTGCATAATTCGCGACATACTGCAGACAAGAAAGACTTTCCTGCATTGCCACCGGCACCAACTTTGGACCGACGGGCAATTGAAATTCTATTAAACAAGCGATCCTCCTCGGCAATACAGGCATGTGGTCAGCTCCCTAAGACGACTCTGGAGCCTCTCACAGCTATCTACTTTTCCAAGATCAATCACACCATTCCTCTACTAGAGATGGACTCTTTTGTCAACGCCCAAGCTCAAAGCTCCGTGTCTAATTTTCTCGAGCGGGCCATTTGCCTTGTTGCGGCGAAAGACCCAGAAGCTCTTCCATATCTGCGCTTAGTAGAGGAAGGACCGGTTGTGCCAACACGTCAATTCTGCTCTAGCATCTACAGTGGGCTCACGGTCGCCATGGATATGGAGTTGGAGTCTGATCGCTTGACCCGTATCCGTATCCTTGCACTGTTGTCTTTGCATTTTGAAGGCAGTGAGGGGGGAGAGGCCGCATCCTTGCATCTTTGCCAGGCCATTCACCAAGCCCAAACGGTAGGTTTGCACCTTGATCGACCGGATCGGACATCTGAAGACCCTTTGGTCAAGTTGTTCTGGGGCCTCTGGACCCTAGACAAAATGCACGCAAGCATCGGCGGTCGCCCCGTTCTTTTGGCCGACCGCGACATTGGAATACCAAGACCAAAATCCCACACCCGAGGAGCATTTGGCGTGTGGCTTGCCATATCAGACTTGCTTGCAACCGTCATATCGTATTATCGACCCTCTGCTGTATCTACTAGCGGATGGGAGGAAGGGTTCCCGGCATTTGAGGATATTGTAGGAGATGATGCGCACGGGGACTTAGATTTTTCAACTCTTGGTGCGTGGGACGACATTCTAGGTCTTGATGGAAGCTAGAACAACCAGAAGCTAACTGACCAACAGGGATTTTGGAGCTATATTATCACTGTGTCGCTATCTTGTCCTGTCGGTACAAACTGACCGATGGTCTCGATGGCACCAAGGTTTCCTCTATTAGGCAGGGCCTCGCGGCAGTTCGGATTCACTCTATTGTTGCCTCGGAATGTGCAGGCAGGCTACCACCGCTTCCCATTGTCCCCTACGCAATATCCCTATCAATGAGTGTCTCCTACCGACAGCTTCGCTCTAGCAAGTTGATTACCCATTTTAATCGAGCCAAGGCCAGCTTGGAAACATGCTGCTTTTTGCTCGAAGATCTCAGTCCTCGCTGGTCTTCTGCCGAAGCAATGGCACGCCTTGGCCGAAAAGCCTTACAGCATATTGACCATGAGCACCCGCAATATGCCCAACCGAAGACAGCATTGCTGCCACAGCCTTCTCGCGTACATCCAGGCCGCCCGGAGCCTATTGCTCTCTCCAACAATATTGAGATCCAGTCAGACCCGGGTGACTCCGGAGGTAACACTGGTATGTCAGTTGCGGATCTTGCTCCTGAATTGTCTATGAAAAGCCCTCTACCATCCATGAATGACATTGAAGCTTCAATGGATGGCTTTGCCGACATTGATACCTTATTTGGGGAATTCCTGGATCTGTCTCTTCCGACGAATTTTTGGGATCCCATATTTACAGAGACAGAACCAAATAATCAAGGATCATGATTTCGGCATAAATGCTCATCATGTGTTGTGTGAGATCTTGATCTGATCACAGAGATGCCTGGTAAGGCCCTTGGAATTCATTATTTGGGACAATTTGTCCCGCAAATACTTTACTCAAGATAGGGCGATCTGATATGGATCATCCCTAAAACTCATAATCCGACACACTCGTCTGATATGTTAGAGCTACCGTGGCGGTCGTTCCACGTAGTCTGCAAAGTGTTAAGGCCATGAGAATGCATGTTCCTATGACCTAGACTATTTCTGCTGGCAGAATATTCAAGGATTACAAATTGTTACATTGAAGCCTTTCCGTATATACTCTCAGATAGTACTCATGCAATATGTTTAAATATTGTTCGGAAGTAATGTATCGGTGTACGTAGGAGCTCGAAGCTCGGAAAGCGGTAATGGGAGCGGTGACCTAAACCGGGTTATTGCCAATCTGGCCCCAATAGCCTGTGCCCACCGCATCATAGGTAGCACACAACTTCATCCCCGCTTCCCAGCCTCCTCCACTGCCTCTTTCTTTTTTCTTCTTTTCTTAGGCCTCTCCTGTCCTCGCTTTACCTTTACCCTGTTCCTTGCTCTGTTTGCTGCAGGAACTAAAACTCAACTCATTCTCCTCTCCCCCCCCTCCCTATCTCTCCCAACCGCGGTGCTCGCTCGGCTTTAAAGAGTTCCATCAACCTCCATGGCTCCTCCTCCACCCGCAACCCTGCCTCTAGCCGAACGACTGAAGGCCCTAGCTCAAACCCTTCAGTAAGTGCTTCCTACCGCTGCATGGAGCTTCAATGATGATTGATTAGTACTAATCTGACTTCTTTCTACAGGTTCGCTTGGTTCGTCGGGTATGTACCTCGGGAATTCATCCAGATTCGCTTTCTCTAAGAAAGACCACTGACCACATATAGCCATCTGACGCTTTTGCTGTCTGTCTTCCGCTACTCTTTGTCTTTCATCTTTTTCAATTACTATTCCTCCACGGCACGAATTTCTTATCGCCTGGCGTTTATCTCGGCAGCTGTGACCTATGGAATCGTCGTGTACAAAGGCCACTTCGCCCGGGGTGTCCAAGGAAATTTGCCGACAATCGTGACGAAGCTCATCTCTGACGAGAATGTGCAATACCTTGGTGCGTGCTCGGTGATAACAGCTCACATGTGACAGGTTGCTAATGTGCCGTAGGAATGGCTCTCGTCTGGTTATACTCGCGCCAGCTTATCCTGGCCCTTCTGCCCTTCAGCGTGTACTCGGTCTTCCATGTTGCGACCTACAGCCGCATGTACCTTATCCCCACCCTGCAGCCCACAGTTCAGGGTGCCGGTGCAAACTCGCCTGGTTCGCCGAGCTCCAAGCCCGCAACCAAGCAGAACGCTCTCGCTGAGACCATTGGCCGCTTCATCAAGCAATACTATGACGCCAGCATGGGTGTTGTCGCTACCCTTGAGATCCTGCTTCTGTTCCGTCTGATTCTTTCCGCGATTGCCTTCTCCAAGGGCAGCTGGGTTCTACTGCTGGTTTACCTTTCTTTCTTCCGTGCTCGCTACGCCCAGAGCTCTTTCGTTCAACAGGCTGTTCGTCAGCTTACCGCGCGTGCCGATGCCTCCATCTCTCACCAGAGCACCCCCCCTCAGGTCCGTCAAGGCTGGGAGGCATTCAAGGGCGTTGTTCGTCAAGCCTACGAGACCACTGACATCAGTCGCTATGTTTCTGGCCCTGCTGCTGCCAACAAGAAGCCGCAGTAAGCGAGTATTAAGCCGCGCTTTGAGCGCGTCAGCCGGTTTAAAAGTTTCTCGAAGCTTTCATTCACTGGAAACTTGAGGTCTTCAGATCGCAAGTCTCGGTGAATTATCTCGGCGGTGTAAGGAAGGTGATATGATATGATTTCCCTATACTTCGATTTGGGTATAATCGGATTGAGGGAAGGTCGATCGTTTGTGAGTATGGACCAATGAAGGTTCATTTGTAGAAAAGATGCGGACGTGGAGGATTTCCGCCCTGATGATGCTATATGCAACGCAATGCCATGTCTTTTATCATTTTTTGTTTCTTTTTCTAGATACAATGAACTCGTATTTATTGCCTTGAATTTCGGATAGCCACGTTTATGAAGTCCGTTATACACCTAGAATCTCAGTGCTGTTTTCCCACCCGACTAGCAAGGATCTACCTTTCTTGTCAACTGGACCTCCTTTGAACTCCGCTAGACTCCACTGGCCTCCTGTAGGTTGTTCGGTCCAATATTCGAGCCAAATGGGGGCTTCTTGAATCCTATTCGCAAAGTTTAGGATAACCTTCTAAAACCACATGTTGACAGATATAGGGCCAAGAACCACAAATCAACGAATACAGGACTGGGTGTGCTAGGAATCTCGGTCAGGTTGATGTCATAAAGCATAAACATCTCTCGTAAGCCCCTGCCGTCAAGTAAGGCTATGACGTATTTGATACACGTTTACATCTGCAGAATGCTTGCGGCTATTGGACTATGAATCCTCTTAGCCGGAGCCGCGTCTGCAAGAGCTTGCTATAACGCGACTGTTACGATTCTTGTTCCTTCGTGAAACGCTGTTTCCTATGGATATCCAATCTGATACGGGCCATGGTCTTAATGTGCATTACAATGCCACCGAGGGTTATAAGCATACTACGAACTCCTTGCAGAGGCAAGGCTTTAGGTTGGAGTCAGACAACCAATTTAAAGGTCATGGTCGTTGAAGACCATAGTATTGAGCATGTCGGGACTTACTGCATGTCGGGACTTACTAGTAATCAATTTGATCGATTGGCTCTCATTAGTCATTGTATGACGTAGCTAGCGTAGAGACTTCTTGCCTTATTATCGGGGCATCCACAGAGGCGGAGAAAAAACACCAGATTTTCGATCTCGGCCCCGAGACCCCCGGACAAATCTCCTACTCAACGCCCTTTTGTCGCTCTTTATAGTTTCTTACCGGGGGTGATACCTTTTCTTCCTCTCTCGCCAGTTCTCTCCAATCACCCCCCGGTTCCTTTCATCCCGGGACCAGACTCGGCGCATTATTGCCATGAGCCTGACCTCGCGAGTGTTTGGTCTGTTTTCGACAACAGCGACCGCTGACCCTGCGACCAGTGATTTTCCTACTTCTACCCCTCACACACAACTGTCGACGCATAATGGAATAGGTATTGGCGCCATCCGCCATGCGCGGGATAGACACATCCTGGAGGAGGAGGATGAGCCCCGTCCGCCGTACCTACATGTGAGATTTTGCAATCATGAGATACTGGCATTGCGATGACTAACAGCTGATAGGCAATGTTGGCCGGTGGAACAGGAGGCACATGTGGTGATATGTTAATGCATTCATTGGATACCGTCAAAACCCGACAACAAGGCGACCCGACATTCCCACCGAAATACACATCCATGACCTCGTCATATGCAACTATCTATCGCCAGGAAGGATTTTTACGGGGTTTATACGGCGGTGTGATCCCGGCCTTTTGGGGTTCGTTCCCGGGAACGGTCACCTTCTTCGGCGTGTACGAGTTTACCAAACGCGCGATGCTGGATAGAGGAATTAATCCCAACATCGCCTATCTCTCGGGTGGTTTCTTTGCCGATTTGGCTGCATCGATTGTTTATGTACCGTCGGAAGTGCTGAAAACCCGGCTTCAGCTGCAGGGCCGATACAATAACCCGTACTTCCATTCTGGATATAACTATCGCAGCACCACCGACGCATTTCGAACCATTGTGCGCCAGGAAGGTGTGTCGGCTCTGTTCCACGGCTACAAGGCCACAATCTTCCGAGACTTGCCATTCTCCGCTCTGCAGTTCGCCTTCTATGAGCAAGAACAAAAATTAGCCAAAGAATGGGTTGGTCAGCGAGACATTGGATTGGGACTGGAGATCCTTACTGCAGCCACGGCTGGTGGTATGGCTGGTGTGATTACCTGTCCATTGGACGTGGTCAAAACGCGTATTCAAACCCAACAAAATCCCCCGCAGAACCCCGGTGGATCGTCTGGGGCCAAGCACACTGGTGATCATGCCCCTAAGGAAAGTCCTCGGCCACATGCCCCTGGATCACCGCATTCCTCCTCGAAAGCACACTCACGGCCAATCTCCACCTCCTCGCCATCTACATCGGTGGCACCACCTGGTGCGCCACGGTTGGATACATCATCCGTGTTTACGGGGCTGAAGATGATCTACCGCAGAGAGGGGCTTGCGGGGTGGTTCCGTGGCGTGGGCCCACGCGGTGTGTGGACCAGCATTCAATCTGGAACGATGTTGGTCATGTACCAATACCTACTCAAACAAATCGAGGCTTACCAGGGCCTGGAAGGCTCATCTCTGTGATGTCTGATTTCACCTGCATACGGAAGGGACCTGATTCATTGGCATGGCGTTTTTTTAGGGGAGTTTTCCTTCATTCATTCCCCTCTGTATAACTGTACTTAAACTTCGATAGAACTACATAGAGTGACCTAGAGGTCAATTGTACTATAGATATCTCCTATAGGATTTTCAAACAATCAAGTAAAAGACATAATATCCAAAGGTCGAGAATTCCCCGAACTAAAGGGAACGCGCTAGCGTGGTTTGTTTTGGCGATCCCGCGGGTGTAAACAATTCCCCCAATTCCCCTCCTTGCATCTTACCTTCCCCTCTTAACTATCTTGAGGTTAGACGCGAACTTCACTTATCAGTTATCCAATATGTCAAACGGTCTTCCTTTTCTGAATAAGCTGCGCAAGCCAGAGCTGGCTGAAATTGCGGAGCAAACCGATCTGCAAGAGTATGTTTATCCTTTGTCGCGCACAGTCGCATCCCGCCAAAAAAGAGCGAAGAAGATCAACAGCTAATGACATTTTTGAAGTTATGATGACTATAACAAGGCTGAACTAATCGCTGCGCTGGACAAGCACCTCGTTGATAATCGCACGATCTTCTCTGGCGACAAGAAACTTGCCGAATTCTATTCACGCTTGTCAAGCACCACGCGTAGAGGATCACCCGTGAAGCGCGAACCCCGGGCTGATGTCTCTCCTGTGGCTGAGAAGAAAACTCCTGGTCGCCGGTCTACGAAGCCAAAGGAGGAGGAATCTGCGTAAGTCATTCACGCCCTAATGTCGCATGCGTAACGCGCTGTGATGACATCATGGCTTCCAAATGCTAATTCGCTGCGACAGTGAGTCGGACGATGCTGCTTTCAAAACCCCCGCCGCGAAGACCTCTGCCCCTGCTACACGCGCAACTCCGCGATCGGTGCGATCGGTACGATCCGTCGTTGAGTCGGCAAGTGCGCAATTTCCGCCATCTCCAGCTGTAGTGACCGACGCCATTGATCGGCAGACTACCAAGATGCGCGAGGGTTTAGAGCACGCCTGGACCGAATCCGGGTTCATTGAGCGCTCGCATGCGCTGCGCGCGACTCTGAGCAGCCTGAAGGCTATTGAGACGATTTTCGTGCTTGTGGAGGCTAGTTATGTCCTCTACGAGCTTGTCCCTCTTCGTTATCTCACGACCACTCCTGCCGTGCCCGCCGCGTATCTGCCCTCGTTCTCGATTAAGGTTCCTGATCTGTTTGTCCTGCTGACTGGCGCCTTCTGGGCGCCCTTCAGTTTGTGGTTTCTCACCAACCTGGGCCTGCCGTTAATCGCTGCTTACTTCTTCAACCTGAGCTGGCAGGCTGCTACTGGTGGCTCCCAGGGTCCTGCGCGCCGTACGCGCTCGGTTTCATCTCTCGCCAGCTTCGATCCCCTGTCCTTCAACATTGCCAAAGCTTTGCTGGTGTACAAGGTCTATGTCGACCAATTTGACTATGTCGATCTGTTCAGCAAATATGCCATCCAAAAGGTCAACTTCTCCATTCCTGGTCAGTACAGTGGTATGCTGACCGGGACCGCCATCGGTGTGATTGGAACTCTTTACGAGGCCATTCTGCGGCGCTCGTAGATGTGATTTTCCTGCGTCTGCCCCGGGCTCCATGCTTGGTCTAGTATTTGGCATTGCAAGGATATCGCACTATTGAAAGCTGGGCAAGGATAAATCTATCATTAGCTTAGTCTTTGGTATTACCTTTTCCCCTGTGCGATTCCGGTACATAACCCGGGTTCGCATTTCCTGTTTGATATGGATTCATCTTATGTGGTTGTTTCGTGATTTGCTTTTCTGGGTTTATGGGTCAAGTTTAGTGGGATATGCGACGATACGATATGCGATACTGTTGATTTTCTTCCGTTCTCTCTTCAGCCAAAGGTGGCGCCTGGGTTTGGGTTCTGGTCTTTCTTTTTAGGAGGTGCTTTTTTGACCTTTAATGACGTGTCTTGGCTGACTCTATACCGAATGAGCGATTATAGTAAATTTTGAAATTATTGATTGCCTTGGAATGAGTTGAATATCGTCTCCATTACCTCTTTAATCTTTGCGCCAGTTCCACAGTAAACAGTACGGGGACTGAAGCATTCACTTCAACCCTTTCTGCTCGAATGTGATTACTTGTAGATATTTGACCCCCGATCTCAGTGGGCCAGTCTTGCACATCCCACTCAAAGCCTTGAGTAGTGATAGTAGCCGGAGCAGACAGAGGAACGATGCCAACGTTCTCTTCAAAAAAGTATTTTGTTTTCTGTTCACCAGACTTGCCACTCCCGGACATTCCAGGGACTTCGGGCTGCGATTCAAGGGCCGAAGCAGCTGAGACGATATCTGCACGTCTCGTTGCGGGCGTATGGATGATATTCCGGCCTTTGTGCAAAACAAATGTGATGCTTTCCTCGGAGACTAGATAGAGACTTCCACCTGTAGCTAGCCTGGGAGTTTTGTCACCACCAGGATGGTCATTTGGGTCACTAGTACTGTGCTGGATTTCACGAAGCTCTCGTTGTGTTTCGGTCATCATGTACAGATGATGAATTTGGGAAAAGGCTTGATCAACACGACCACCGAGGCCGCCAAGAATGACGACTTCAAGTAATGACTCTGAGATTGTTTGAGAGGCAGAGCCTCGAGGTCGACGAGGAGATGCGATGATCTCGGATGCATGTGTATTGAGATATTTCAAGCATTTAGTGAAGTCCGTTGAATATTGATCTGGATCTTCCAAAATGGTAACTCCTAGCTTTTCATAATGCGAGCGTACCGCTGGATGAAGTGAGTCCAAGTCACCAACAATGACATTGGGAAGCTATAGCCCCGACGTTAGTTGATATACTAGGGTTTGAAAAGCTTGACCTGGCAGAAGCTTTATGCCAACACTCCAATATTCAACATCATACACTTGCACTACCGTGTCTTTTCAAAGGACCCAAAGGACCGATTAAGAGGACTTCACTTACTTCTGTTGACTCTTGCCCTTGGTTTTTTGTTAAATCGTACAGCCGATTGGCACCACCGTCGGCGCAAATAACGTAGCAAGCTATACAAATGGATAAGAAACTGCTGTGGTACTCTGAGACAGGCTAGGGAGAGAGAAAGGTCTAGTCCATCTCAAAGCTCACCATGTTCACTCAATACCTCATAGGCCCTCTCGTTGATTGGTTGGTTCAAGATCAACAGGGCGTACGGTGCTGGACTGCCTTCGGGATGGAAAAAGCGGCTTGGATGCCACTCCATATAGCTCATCAGGGTGGTAGAGTAAGAGATCCAGAATCAACCTTGGTGGATGAGGCAGAAAGTGTCGGAGAGTCGCGTGTGGTGCGACCCGCGCAAACGTGACTGGCTGACAATCATTCGAACCTCAGGCCGGAATCCACCTTCTCTTTCCACCAACTTCTCTATCTGCCGGCGCCAGCTTCTACCTCCCCTCCCCACGCCCCTTGGAGGTTCTCTGCGGTGTCAATTCCATTTAGACACAACTCTTCGCATCATGTTCCGTCCCGCTGTCCGAGCGCTTGCCCGCGCGCCTGCTGTCGCGGCCCGTAGCCCGGCGAACACCCGATTGATAAGCACTGGTCCGGCGCCAAAATCCAGAAGCTGGAAGAATACTGTTGTCCGCTTGGGATTGGCGGGTGGTGCTATCTACTACTATAACACCAGCAGTGTTTTCTCTGAGGAGCCTTCGTGTACGTGAAGTCGTTTTGCGCTTACTATCATGATCCTCGCCTGGTTCACCCGAGACCCTAGCATCTCAGAATTCGTCGCATTGTGAGCCAATGGTTTGTTGAATTCTTGTTAACGATGTACCATATTTCTAGTCTCCATCCTCGCTCATCTGCAAAAAGAAGATGCCCCGGCATCCTCCGAGACTCTCAACTCAATTACCCCCAAGATCCGGGAAGAGCGGGCGGCTGCCCAGGCTCTGGAAGGTGGTGTGAACCCTCAACAACTCGAGGAGGAGGCCGGACAGCAAGCCGCCTTCAACCCGGAGACCGGTGAGATCAACTGGGACTGCCCATGCCTTGGTGGTATGGCCCACGGCCCCTGTGGCGAGGACTTCAAGGCTGCATTCAGCTGTTTCGTGTATTCCGAGGAGGAGCCCAAGGGCATGGACTGCATCGACAAGTTCAAGTATGTTGCTCTCATCTGTCTTGCTAGGGTCATTCGTCCGTGCTAACACGTCTCTAGGGCTATGCAAGATTGCTTCCGCCAACACCCCGATGTTTACGGCGCCGAGTTGGAAGATGACGAGGTCGAGGGCGGTGCGCCCGCACAGGCACCTCCCGCTGGTGAGCAGGAGGCCCCCTCCACCCCCGAGGAAAAGCCCACCCAATTCCAGGAAGTCACCAGTGAGGTGAAGGCGGTTCCTGAAGTCAAGGCCGACTCGCTGGTTCCCAAGGCCTCACATGACGATGAGAAGTCCCAGGTTCAATTGGAGAAATAAGCTCACGTTGAACAACTGATATTCTCTCTTGACACCTTCCGAGGGGCAGGAGTTATTCTCTGTCTCCAGTTGTCCTCCCCCCAAGCAGGGGACTAGGATCGGGGTGTGTACTATACTAAAAATCTCTCTCCCTCGATATAATTGCTGCGCCTCTCCATGAAATCCCCAGCATATCCCATTCCCCCATTGCGCTCCTGTGTTGCTTGATCTTACCCCCGTTGTAACTTAGTGTATTGATGTGCCCCGTGTGCCTGACCGATTCAAGGGAAATAGAATAGACTTGTTGCATCATGAACTTCTATTTTTTTTTTTCTTCTAAATTTCATTTGCTTCAAGTTCATTCTAGCTCTCTCGCTCTAGGGGCAGGTTTGTAAATGTCCCTTGACCACTGACAAGATTCGCCGCGTGACTTGGGCGACATATATTCGTCTCGTCCTGCAGATCGGTATCTTGTCAGGGCAATACTCTAACAAAATATGATAGAACTTACAGGATTGATGATCGGGGTTCCGTTTCAGATTGGAGTGTAGAAAGCAGTGAGAGATAGAAGGAACTGGCCGCAATAACGCTACTGATCAATCTTTCGGACGATTCTTTTGCTGTGTCGGCTTGGATACAAGCTCCCATTCAGATACAGATCGAACTTCCGGCAGCGCCCCATCTTGAGCGGGCGTCATCGTCCAACCCCTTCAATCAGGAAGGAAGTTCAGATATATGTTCCGTCTTCACAATGCCAAGTCGGCCCGTCGTGAAGATATCAGTGTCAGAGCCTTCCACGCCGTCCTCAAAGACCGTGGGACTATACGGAGCACTTGATATCTTATATCAAAACGAATTTCACCATAAAACTTCATACAAGTCCGTATGCTCCAAGCCTAAGATATTTGTGATGTATCACAGGTGGCAGAAATACATAGGACTGCTACTATCAAACTGGAATAGCATCAGCTGCGGGCATGAATCCCTGCTTTTCCCCCTTGGTTCTGAATCCTTGACCGACTTAGGAATATATGTAGAACGGCCATGTTCAAATGGGATTGGAACATGGCCCGATATTTCAAATACTTCGAGAAAACAAAACCTAGAAATTGAAAGCTTGTTATGCCTTGGCTAGATCGTGGCGTGTCAGCCAAACCCCCACAAGGACATATCTCGGTCATAAATCGGAACTGCCGATTTCAAAGGGGGGGAAGCCTTTATAGTTATTGGCCGGAATGAACAGTAGAACAGTAGAACACCTAGTATATGTATCTATAAATAGGCTAGAGCAGTAGTCATCGTGGGAATAAGTAGGAAGTCTCATAGGAGGATTGATAACCAAAGAACTAGGGTCAAGGGGTGCTGCTGGGTCTAGATTAAACATGACTTAGGGCACTAATAGAGGGATATCCGGTCAGCCTAACCCCACAGGATATTCATCTTCGCCCATATGGTCTCTTTCTTGATTGGCACATTCTCGGGGTCATTTTCAGCCTCGTCCAATGCTTGACGGAGGGGCACCATCTGTAGAGGTATTATCTTCGTACGCCGAATCAATTTATAGCCTCCATAGGCAAGCAAAACAAGGGGAATATCTCTGCTTTGGTGTTAGTAATTATCCATTACTGGGCACTTATGAGGGCTCTTACAAATAGGATGACACGAAGGTGGCAGGGTCCCAGCTTCCACTGGTGAAGACTGTGAATCCTCCGGTCAACAAGAGGATAACACATGCGATTAGAGCAACCCAACTAGTATATCCTAAATGATGTTAGCTAGATAAACAAACCAAGTCAAAAGGATCCACGTACTAGTTATACTGTTGTGCCAAGGCAGCGTATGTGGTGAAATTCCCTGTTCCTTGAATGCTTGGAGCAAGCGAATATGGTTCAAGGCAATGGTGATCCACGAGACCAAAGTACCGGCGGCAGTCAAGTCCACAAACCAATAGAAGACCGTTGTTGCGCTGTTGGATACACACATGTAGGCCAAGAAGGAGAAAGCAACCTGCATTGCAACGCACATATATGGCACACCCCATTTATTGGTCTTGAGGAAAATCTTAGGAGCGTGGCCCTTGACTGCGAGACCGTACAATGTTCTTGTACCCGCCAGGATGCTTTGATTGGAAGAAGACCATGCAGATGTCAGGCATACAGCATTCACGATAGATGGAATGGCTCTGATGCCCGCATCACCAGCGGCAATAACAAAAGGACTCTGTGCCGCAGTTCCAGAATCGTCTTCGAGGCGAGGATCTGTGCTCGGCACCAACATGCCCACAATCAAGACCGCAGCGAGATAGAAGATAGTGACTCGTGCAAACACTCGCTTGCAAGCCTTGGGAATGTTTTGGCGAGGGTTCTTGGTCTCCGCAGCCGCCATGGCCAAAGACTCCACGCCAGCGAAAGAGTAAACGGCATTCGTCATCACAGCCCAGAAACCCAGAAATCGACCCCAGGACCCAGAAGCAATATACTCAACAAAAGGGCCCGGTTCTTTCCAGTAGTGAAAGCCCAATCGCGGTTTTCCTGGGATGCCGCCGAGATCGATGACCAAGCCCAGGATGACAACAAAGATGACCAGCAGGATTTTGAGAATTGCGAAGATGAATTCGATTTCACCATACACGCCAATGAACGAAACAGCGACAGCAACCGACACCACGATGAGGATGGTCACCCAAATCGCGGCGTTAATGTCAGTCCAGTATTGAATCAAAACCACGCTGGCGGAGATCTCGCTCGGTACACTGATGAAACATCCATAGACGACGTTCCAGCCGATTGCGAATGCCAGAGCTGGATCAACAAGAACTTCAGCATGACGAACAAATGAGCCCGTCACTGGAAGCAAGGCAGAGACCTCGCCAAGAGCGAATTGGATAGCGCAGACCACCAGACCGACAAAAGCGTAACCTAACAGGGCACCCAGTGGACCACCGGTAGCAATTGAACTACCGAGGCCGAGAAAAAGACCGGTACCCTAGTACGCAAGTGTCAGTGTATAAGCACCAATATCTAGATATTCAGATCTCCACATACAATCGCACCCGCAATAGCAATCATCTGAACATGCCGTTGCGACAATCCCCGCATCAGACCCAGCCGTTCATGCTGGGTGACAATGAGTCCATCGTCAGGGGTGATCTCTCCGGCATCAGAGTGTGGTGGGGGTTGATCTTCAACATCGTGTACGACGTATGGAGTTCCCTTATTCGAGGTCGGATCCTCAATAATCCCGGCCATGGTTGTCTAAAAAGATTTAAAAAATCTCCAAGAATCCCAAGGCAGAAAAGATTTCAGCGCTAAATCATTAAAGACGCCAATCACACCATCTAAGTGGTTGATGAGGGAAGCTATCTATTGTTTTGCTTATCTAGCTTGGACTTGCCAAAAGTGGGCTTGGTATATTATGTGGCGTAGATGCTCCTATACATGCAGAGAATTTATCACATTCGCTCAATGGCTGCATATCTGCAATATGCTGCATTCAAGTCTTGTACTATTGAAACACATACGAATAAAGAATGAGAGATGAAAAGTCATATAGAGCCGAGCCCCACCGTAATTGCTCATACTCGGAGATCTCCGGTTCTCTCCACTGATCCCTCTCCCTGTACCCTAATTGGCTAATCGTGTGCTGCTTCCCGCCATTAATGAATGACTGGTATAGGAGGCCAAAAGGTATTGGAACTGATTCCTGAGTCGTGCAAGTTCAACGTTCGAAAAACGGCGTTGCGTCACGGAAGAGGAAATAAGAAGGTGAAGATGCTCAACGCGATAACGATGGAAGCTTCCTGTTTTCACATCTTTCCGCCCTC